TGGTCAAATATTATTATAATATATTTTATGAAATATTATTATATCATCAAAATTTTTTAAGTTTATCCGAAAAATAGAATTTAATACTCTAAAGCTTGTAGAATCATATTTACTCGATACTTGGCGAATCCAATTGTTTGTTCACTATACGTCGCGGTTGAAATCAGATCTACCAGATTCGATGTACGTAAAGATACATCCTATAAAATCGGGTCATGTCATATATCCTATATATATGTACATATTTTTTAAAAAATATGTATCTGACGCCAGTGGAAATTCCGTGCTTCGAGTATATTTCTCTTTTCTTCGGAAGCAGAATTTTCTCCCACTCGCGATAGCTGAGAAATCGGTCACCGTTAAATTACGTCTCGTTCGTTTTGCTTCCGCACCCGATCAGGCTCGGAAAGTCAGTTGTTTCCTATTTCTCCTCTGAACCGAATAACCCGATTGGAAAGACTACGTTAATCGATGCTCCGTGAAAGATCAAGAATCCGACCGAACAAGATTTTTCTGCTGACTAACGAGCCTACTTGTGAACGGAATCCATACAAATAAATAAAATAAACATGCTAAATCTAACGAATTCGCTTGTAAGAAAATCGTATAGATTTTCATTTCATGAAGTGAGAGAAATTATCCGCTTAAATGTCTCATTAACTATCATATTATTTTTTTGTACCTTTTTTATATTTATTTATTTATTATTTAATTGAAGATGAACGCCTGATTTTAGGATATATTTCAATATTTCCTCAATTTTAAAACTTTTGTAGTGTCATGCTTATACCACAATCCATAAATTAAGAAATATTACACTGTAAATATATTAATGCAAAACTTTGCATCAAACATATACTTTTAAAACTCATAATTGATGGAAAAGTCTAATAAATCATTTTCACTTATAAATAATCATATGCAGGTGTACAAGTATATAATAATTATAAATGAAATATAACAATGCTATTTAAAGCTATTTGTAAATCTTCACCGATCTTTTCAAGTGGAAGCAAAGTCAAACAGCGCGATTACCACTATTTTTCTTATTTCTTAAATCTTTCTTATCTATCTCCACATGCTATCATTTGCCGCAGCTGCGCTCGCGAGTGCAATATTTCGCGCAATAAAGAAGTCGTTAGGTCGGGATAAAAAATTTCGTCTGACTGCGTGAGGGTTTATCCGATTCAGACGATTCCCCGCCATTCTCCACAATCGTGGAATTTACATTCTTCACCTTCCCGGTCGAGCCTTGCTTTGGACTCACAGTTCGTTTCTCGTTGGATTTTACGTGTCCCGAATACGTGAATCCCTCAGGAAAACTGTCGCGGAGTAACAGTCCTCCTAAAAAGCCGCGTTTCGTTTTGACGTGAACGAGATAAAGGATCGACCGGAGACGAGACTGGAAATGTCCGATTTTGAGTTGGCCTTTCGATATATAGAACAGCTTGAAATAAGACAGGTATCTTTTTTTATAACTGCCAGCGTGCAGATTTAGAAATAGTCCTTCGAAAAATGTAAACCATTTACTTATACACAATATGACGAATGCATTTCTGTCTCATAAGTTATAAATAATATATTTTTCCATGGCTGAGAATTTGATATACTTATTATTATGCAATTATACTAAAAATAAAGCAGTAATTAATTGAAATCAATTGGCCGTTTATCGACATTATTTTTCGATATACGTCTGTTTTGCTATTAATTTTAAATGATATATGTATAATGTTTGATACAAAAAGTCGATAATATTAAGATTTAAATCTTACACAACAGTTCTATGAAAAATTGATCTGTCTCTATCCGTATACGGTTGGAAGCTGTTGAAAATAGTTGGAAACATTTTTCTGAAAGTACCAAAGAGAAATAACATTGCGGAATTTAATTGTCATGATTTTCGTCACGTTCAATTTTCCGTCTGTTGGTTGCTACCTATTTTTCGGCACACGTGCATCGAACCTTTCGTCGCGTACCTTTGCGGTAAGGAATGTCTTTTTGCTTTTTTTTTACCTTGAATTTCGCTTTAAAGGAGGAAAAGTTGAGGTATACTTTCTTCACAAGGAACACGGGCGCCGAAAGGCGCAGTCGGGGAAACTCGATATCAATTTTCTCGCTACATAACACACGCGAGATGAATTCACAGCGCCGTTTCGGTCTGTATACGCGAACGTAATAAATATTTAATACGCGCGTTATTAGGATGCGTCGGCATTGGACACCGTGCCATCTCACAGCTATAGACTTTTTTTTTTATACATATTTGTTCCCTCAGGGAAAAATTTTACGCGATCGTAGTTTATCATGATTTTTATTTCTACGCACGTTCAACGTCTTAATTAATGCAGTAAGACATCCTTTAATTTTTCGTGGAATTAATTGGTTCATTGTTCGCGATAATAAAATCACGACTGGCAGGTTCTCACGAAGTGTTTCAGTGAACGATTTGTCTGAGAAGTAACCCTCATTTTTCATAATTTGTATTGCTCACGCAGAAAACACATCCAACGATTCCGTGATCGACGATGTCGTTCTCCGTGAAAATAAAACTGCAACATACGAATCGCAATAATAAATTCCCATTTGTAAAGAAACGAAAACATATGTTCGCGTGATGTGCGGCGCGTAATTCATTATACACTTCTGTTTCGTCTGTTATGTTTGATATTGCTCATCTTCCGCGATACATTTTTTTTTTTTAACTTTTATTGTAAATATTTCGTTTACGTATCTCAGAAATCAAGCGTATTTTAGCACTCGAATTATTTGTCATAAATACACAAATTTAGTATTTTCAGTTAATATTATATATCTTATATCCGATTAGAATTCACAACAACGCGGAGCTTGCCTCGTGATATTAGTATCAAGAATAATGGAAAGTAAAAGAAACAAATCCGAGGTGAATTTGAATTTGCGAACGATTTCAACTAAATTAAGCTTCTAATCTAAACTAAGCTCAACTCCGAAAATAATTACATGAATGACAATCGATTATCCGCAATCCATGTGACGAATATAGTTACTCGCAATCAATTCAACGATCCATTTATTCGTTCGGACAGATTAAATTGCTCCGTAACTCCGTTACGGCAGCGACTTTCTTGAGAGGCGAAGCGAACGGTCGCGCCAGAACGCGCTAATTTTTGACGGATTTGTGAAAAATGAGCGACTTTACGAGGTTATCTATACGAGGCCGGTTACGCGAACACGTGAAAATCCATATCAGACCGACATCAATCATCTTGATTCACGCCTGATATTCTCAGCCGCCGTTCGATTCGCCCGGGGAAGGATAATCCTGACGGATGTTCCCGTTCCTCGGGAACGGAACCTTTCTCTAGCCGACTAGGAAGACGCGCGGTCGGAGGATTATGCCGGCTTCTTAAAGTATGAGAACGACTTCGTCGCCGAGCGAAAAGAGACATCCGCTCGGCTATAGGATAATAACAGATATTAGATCCTTAATCCGGTAATGGAAACAGATATTAGATCCTTAATCCCGTAATGGAAAAAACATTTGCTTCTAGAATCTTGTGCACGATTACTATCACTTTTTAATATGGATTTTCATTTATTGATTAGAGTCGATACTTCTTCAGAAGTTTCATACTCTTATAAAGTACGATGTACTAATTAGGATTAACACGGAATATTCCATAACTCGCAGTCTTAAGTTTTACGATTCTTCCGACAAACTTGCGATCGAACTTGCACTTTCCTATAAAAACTCGACATTGTTATTTCCAATTTTCTAACTTTTCATGTCTCTTTATCAATCCTCGAATTAAAAATATATTAAGACAAACTTAAAATTAGGCAACAAATGTTATTCTATTATTTATTAGTCTTCTTTAAAATTTTATTTGTGAAAAAAATTTTGGAGCTACTTATAATTCAGTCTACTTTTGTTGGCATTTTTACTTAAAAAATTTACTTCAAATTCGTCGGAGAGAATTTGTAATTAAAATTAAGTGAATTACGGAAGATATCTTTTATATTATTATTCAGATTTTTTTACAGGAGTCTGCTAATAAGTTTTCTCTATTGACATCTATGTAATTTACGCACAATTTTACTTGCTTCTAATAAAATTATCATTTTAAGAAGTTTAATTTCTTATTTCTTATGAAACATGATTATATAATTGTCTCGTATGCAAGATCGATTCCTTTATTCACGATTCGATAAAGTTTTCAATTAGCTGCGGTTGATCCTATACAAAGTGTCCTCGACAAGTATCATGTATCGTGCACAAAGCAAAAGCTCTACAAACTTCCTGGTAAAAGCCGTGTTCGCTTCGTAAGCTGCTAAATCCGTTAGCTGTGTAAGGTTCCTACATTGTTGCAATCTTGTCTGAGAATATGTTACACGTACCGCATACGTATCGCCATGCGTCTAAAATTTTCTAGTCATTATTTGCCCTTTGAATACATATTTATTGTGTATTTCGACGTGCGGTTTCGACAACTCTCTTTAACATCGAAATCCTCTCGTACACAAATAATAGGATCGTTGTGCATGTAGTATATATTTTGAATAAACCGAACTAGAGTCACTAATACTGCATTTATTAATTTATTATTAATGTATAAACAAATTTTTCCAGTTATATTCGTCTTTCAATATGTTAAATTTGAGTAAAGATCTTTATTATCTAGTAAAAACGGAACCTGCAGAGATCCTTTCATCACTCCCGCCGATTCCAATCGACAGTCCTCTTTTCATTGTCCAATTCATTTTTCAGTTTTTCAGTTTTTATTATTTATTATTTTTTATTTCCAAAACAATTTATATGTTATTTTAAAGTAGAATACAATTATAATAAAATTAACACAATTTTACTAATCAAGTTTGTATAATGTTATTTAATTCTTTATTAAATACATGACATTTACAAAGAACAGTAACTTAAGCAAGCTCTTATTAAATCCTTCGTAAATTCCTTTTTTTTTATAGTATAAATATTAATAGAAGATTACTTATCTACATAATATTACTTATCTATAAAGTATTTTCTTACATGTCATTTTGTGTGCTGAATTGTATTAGAATAACAACATACTTCAAGACCGTGGTAAAGAACTGAAAAAAATAAACTGACACGGTTTCTTATTTCTGTCATTCTCAATAATCATGATTATATTAAATAATGTAGCAAGTAGCTTAATATATAACAATTATGTTAAAAACATTATTATTGAGAATAAATAAATAACATAATCTCATTTAAATGATTAAGTTAAACAAATATATAAGTAATAAAGTAAATAACATACCTTGCCAGTAAGAGAATTATCAATTGAAAAGAAACCAGTACAGGTAAAATGTAATGAATTAAGCATTATTTGCTGTGTAAATTGCTGAATCTGCAAATATATTTGTATTCTTATTATACATATATGTAACCATATACATGAATATATGCATTATTCATGTTATATACATAAACAATACATTGAATTTATAGATTTGCAATTTTGCAATTTATACACTTAAATGTCTTAAATAAATTAATTGCCGTATATAAATATTACTAATAATAATGTTATATGTTATGGAGAAAGAGATCTAATTTGATTGATATATGTAATTATCAATGATACATGAATAGATTTACCTCTTCTTTCATGTCATCATCCATAATAGATCCTTCAAAAGATTGTATAATTTCGCCGGTTTTATATGCCTGAAATAAACATTAATGCATACGATGCAAATCTGACATAAAATTATGAATAAATTGCACAATATATGTGCGGTGCACATTTTTTATTCATATATAAAAATTGAAATTATTATATGTATTCATATAAGTATTAAAAGACATTCTGTACCTATATACAATTTATATACAATTTATATAAAATAAATAAATTATGTAATATTCCTAATATAAATTTCATGTGTTTAACTACAAATAACACAATTTTACATAAATATTGCATATAATTGTATATATTATTTTTATTATAAAAAATAATTTTTTATACCTCGGTTGATACACTCGAACAAAGCGAATTTATTAATATAATTTTAAATGAATAAATGCATGCCCATATTGCCATGGATATAATCTTTTCGTTGTCGAGTGTCACCCTTAATTGGCCAAAAAATGCACCATGTAAACAGTAAGTAGTCGATGTTATTATCGTAAAATGAACTGCCAATTCGAGCAGAAGTACGAAACAAAAAGTACGATTTGTTTGCCGTCCGATTCTCGTAATTTCTAAATGTAAATGTCTTTGACAGAAAAATATTCAATAGTTAGTGATAATTTAAGTAATATTAAAATCTTTCAAATACTCAATAAATACTCAATTATTAAATTCGAACGAGTTACAGAATCCGGGACATATGGTGTGTATGTGTGGTGTATGAGAGAATGGGAGAGAGGAAAGGTATGTGAATATAAGGTCTTTTTAATGTTTAATTGTTATATTATATGAAAACTTGATAATAGAAGCAAAAATTATTATTGATCTCTTATAGTGTCTTATACCTTAGCGTTTGAATGTGATGCATTATCATGTCTTTGCGGTTTTTATAGTTCGCCATGACAAATGCAATGGACGTATTATCGTACCGATTATAAATCTTGAAGGCATTTGATTCATTTGCATAAAGCACTGCATTATTGATTAGAGTATTTATCTTCTGAAATCTCATTCCAACACATCTGCCGCATTTCAATCTTAATCAGTACTCAAATACGTAAACAGAAACATGTTATATGTTTACTTGTCCATTACAAACAAATTAAAGAGATATTATTATAATTGACAAATATCTTAGAAATCAAAGAAATCTCGACAAAGTCCTCTGGTCGAGCTTCTCACGAAATATTGTTGTTGTTTATTACTTTAAGAAACATATTACTTGCCTGACAAGCGCGGCGAAGGTGAGGTCCACTACAGAATTTAATATAAATGGAAAAGATGTGCTTATGTTGCTGTAAAAGACAACCCAGTATTCATCGCGATACATCCATAGTGTATGCATGAAGATCATTGTTATCGCACTTACTACCCAGATAGCCGTAAGACATCGAGTAGAGCGATATATTTTCTGATAATCTATTTTTATGCCCAACGCTTCTAAAGTATTGTCCGCTATACCATTCCTCTTAATTATCTTATTTATATTCTTCAAGTATCGAGATTTATTAATAGATTAGTAAATTTGTTCAATATTTATTCGAAGACACGTCATGATGTCAAAGAAAAAATGTATACGCATGCAAATCTATACTTAGCAATTCTGTATATTCACAAGAAGAATGTAAATAGAAGAAAAAAATCCTTTATTACACAATTTACACATATTTTAAAATAAGCTGAATATTAATGTTTCTTTAATTCATTAATTTAGTCTTTCCATAACTTTTGTTTGCCACTTCTACACTAATTTCATGCGAAATGTTATTATACATACCTACCTCTGATTTATAACGCCAAAACGTAATTATAGCCCAGACGGCAACTAAGACGTTGACTCCCACGACAACGTAAAATATCATAAGTTCTTGAATAAATATTTGTTGTAAAATGTAAATTCCTTCGTAAAACGAAATGAAAAATACAGTCAACACTGAGATGATGTAGACAGCAGTTAGAAAATATTGTGGGCGATTTATGGGTATTTCAAATATACCCATGCAAAATATACAATTGAGCCATATAATAGGCATAACTGCCTGTTTATAATTCATACTCGACATTATCTCAAACCATTCACCATCAACCTAGATGGATTAATTATTATTTGATTAACAAACATATGTATATTTATATTAAATGATATTACGATTAATATTTTATAAATATTAAATAAATAAGCTTACGTTATGTTTTTTAAATTTTATGTGCAATTGAACACGGTTTCCTCGTTGAAACGATAAATCTCGAATAACCGAAATAAACACTGAGAGTCGTCGTTTAATTGCGAGTGTGACCAAATTGTCACACTGTAAATTGCGGAAAGAAAACACTTGTTTAACGTTTGTAAGGACTAAATTTGACTTGGACGGGACACTAGTCTTGCGTGTTATTTTTAATGAACCCTACAACTGACGAAAAACTAACGGCTAATAAGCGATCTTGCGTGCTAGTATGATACATCATGCTTTTATATATACACGTGTTTCACGCCCGTAGTGTACATGTACATTGTACAACATTTTCAATTACTTATTTGGTGAACTATAGCTTATCTGACTGTTCCTTGCTAAACGTTTAACTAGCGACAATAAATGATTGTAATCTAGGATCATCTTTGCCTCAACACTTTATAACATTATTTCTGATAAGATCTATGATTGATGTATATCTTTTTTTTCCCATTTTTATTAAAGTATATATCTAGAACTTTAGTAGATATTACTTTCTGAGCTGTACTCATAGAATTTCTGTTGATTGTAGGTACTTACGTGCATGCTGTACGAATATAAATTGAATAACGTGATAACGAAAAGCGATACAAACAGACTGTGTGAAAAGATTGAGCTTATTACTTCATTATCTAAAAAATGTAGGTAAAATATGTTTTGTTTATATATTATATATATATATATATATATATTTTATAATATATATATATATATATATAATTGTATAACATATTTCTATTTAATCAATTTAAACGATTAAATATCATGTTAAGTTTTATAAAGGAAAGTTATCTGAGAACGCAATTTTAGCTTAAACATAGTGAGAACTCTAATAAACTTGCATATACGCAAATAAATATAATATGTTTGCATTTTATCGTAGATACCATCTGAAACTGGATCATTAAGGCTTTTATTTTAATTGAGAGTCGTGTTGAAATGCTACGTAACTGTACGATATGATATGAATGATATACAGTAAAAATAATATCAGTAATGGAATTTTCACGTTTTACAATTAGAAAAACTACTTTCTATTGTTCTTTTTTACGTAATTGTTTTAATCTATAACACTGATCAACTTTGCAATATTAAACGGTACAAATGTATGTAACATATACCTGCTTATATTATCAGAAATTCTTAATATACACGTAACCATTCAAAAATTGTTTTTATTTGGAAGTTATTATCAATACCAATTTTTAAAGCGTTCTATTGCACGTTTCCATTGGCTCAGCGTGTATTGATAAGATAATCGCAATTATCGTTTGGCTTGAATATCCTGTCCGTTTGATGAAGTTCTAACAGTTCTTCTCTATTCTTCCATAATTTTGAAATTAAACAATACATTAAAAATTATCAGCACAATTATGCGTGTTTAATTGTATAACTCTTAATGTTCGATTACATCGATTTTATTTATATCTTGGCATAAAAGATGACAAATATATATATAATTCATGTTGCGAAGAAGAGAGAGAAAAAGGGGTGGTAATAAATGCCAAAGTACGAGGAATAGAAGAATATCAAGCACGAAATAATGTAAGGGAAATATATAAAGAAAGCACAGAAAGAAAGAAATACATATATCCTAAATGAAAAGGATTCTTTGATCAACTTCTTAATGAGCAGAGTTCTATCCCGAAGAATAAAACTTAACATTTATATAATACATTAATAAGACCAACACTTGTATATGTAAAGTGTGGACTCCAAAAAGAAACTAATCGACTCGCTCTATGTTTGAGTGCAAAATTCTAAAAAGAATATATGGGCCAATGGCAAATGTGGATGGCACAAATTATAGAATATAGAATTAGATACAATTACGAGCTAAGATGTCTCACAAAGAACTAAAATATTATACGCTTGATAAAAGCGCAAAGAATTGGATGGAGTGCTATTTGAATGTCTGAGGAAAGAGCAGTAAAAAGAAATATACACCAGTAACTCGGAAGGTAGCTGCAGAAATAAGGGCAGACGAGAAAAGGAGATGGACATGTTGAGAGGCTTTATAAGAAGAATGAAAATTAGTAAAGTAACTGGGCCAACGTCACGAGAGATCGGAATAACTAGAGAAGAATAATTGTAGAGTTTTTTTTTAACGTGAACTATAATACTGAGAAAGAAGAAGAAGAAGAAAGAGAAAAAGAATTACTATAATTTTACCGAATGTGTTAGTGATTCTTAAATGTCGAAAACGCAATTGTCAGATTTTGTAAACGAGAGGCTAATATTTAATCGTTGGCTTATAAATGAATATTCACACTTTTTATTTAGTAATTTCTTCATTTCATATCAAAAGATTATACTGGCAATACTTAAAACGGAATTTTGAAATAATTGAATAAAAATTCTTCGAATTTATTAATGATTTTGACATGGATAAAATAAGTTATTAATATTTCTGAATAATTTTGAAAAAAAATTTTTAAGCGAATATTTAGATATTATCAATCAATTTTTATTTAAGGTAAATGTACCAATGCCGGGACACTTAAGACTGCTTAAGACCTATGTTTGGATACCTTTATCATTTTAGTTTTTAAATAAGTATAACGTGCATTTTAAAAATAAAGATAAAAATATACTACCAGAAAAATATTTTTATCTTTAATTCTTTGATTTTAATTCGCGTTATAACTTATTGAAGGACTAAAATAATAAAAATGTCTAGATATATAGGTATGTGTCCAGGCATTGGCACATTTACCTTAATGAGTTTTGCGAAATTTCATCAATTTCATGTAATTTACAATGTAACTTACATTACAATTTACAATTTTATGCTGTCAATATCCAATATGACCTCTAAACGGAAATAATTCAAAAATAAAAAGTATGAGAAATTATTTTTGACAAAATTTAATTCAGCTTTAATCAATATTTCTGGAATTATAAAGATACTGACAATACGTTTGAATTTGATATATTTATAAAATATATATAATATATTACACATTAAATTTATAAAAATAAATCATACATACCTATATTAAAATACCCGTTATTCATTATTTTTAATAATTAAAAGATTATTTATAAAAGATAAATTTAATATTATTAAGTAATATTATTAAGTCTGATCTGAGTTTTAGATATAATTTTTTAAAATCTTAATTTAATTTTATTAAATTAAGATTAAATTTTTTATCTGAAAAATTAAATTTTATATGATTTTTAATATCCTAACAATCTTAACATCCCTATCACAAACCTATTATCCCTAACATTTCTAATATATATATTCGCGTGAGAGCTTACTATGTATTTTAATTTGTTCTAGTAATCTTGCCTTTAATAGTCCGAGTATTCCTAGCAATAATTCTAACATCTTACAATTAGCCTGTCATTTGAATTCCGCGTTTTTATCTTTAAATTTTTACCAATGCAAGTTTCCGCAAGTTTATTGTTAAGCGCACTAATTAGAACCGTTCATATACGCGATCTATTTGCTGGCTGAACCAACACGATTTCTAACTCGCTTACGATTAGTTCTACTTGTTGATTAATCCAGTGGGATACCTAATCCGCGATCACCCGAGATTTGGGAGGAGTGATGTAGCCTAATTGTAATTTAATTTTTGACCGGTCGCATTTATTTCCTTTTTTAATTATGCGCCATCGCACATAAATGGAAAAACTATGTATTCACGTGTACTTAAGTGAACTTTTTACAAACTTTGGCCAATATCGGCCACCTACCTTCGATGAATTTCTTCTTTCTTCGGTCAGATTGATTCTGACCATAACTATTCTGGCTGCATTGCAGTTGATAATCAGCGCCAGCACATAAGCGTAATTTTCTACGCTCATTATTAATGCAAGACGATTGCAAAACGATACGGCCGTTTATTAAAAGCTGCGCGCCGTAAATTACGTAAGATAAATGCAAACGTTCAATAAAATGTAATCGCGTGATATATTTGCATAAGATAGTCATCCGCGTGATGTCTCGACATTAATATTGCATACAAGAATTTGGAAAATATACGAAAAATATATGTTAAAGTTAAAAATGAATATTATGTATTAAATCTCATCACCGAGAGATCAGAAAAATCTAAATTACTTTCCGCGAAATTAAACCGTAGAATATGAATAAGAAATTATAATTGTTTCGAAAATAATAGATGAATTTTTCTATCGCGAAACGAGATTCGTAATCCGTATATATCTGTATTTATCCGACGCGTAAATCTGTATTTAGGTATTTTAGTCTCCCTAGTCTGTATTTCTTACGATCATTATTTTAATTTCATCGAGCGTTCATCAGATGAGATATTTACAATGGATGACATGAAATCCATGCGATGACTTGTACGTACAATTACTATTGTGCCTATTGTCCACATAAATTTTTCATCTCTCTGCGCTATACTCTTTTGTGAAGTTTTTACACGGATATTTTCTTTTCTTTATATTCTATACTGCTTATTTTTCGTATCAAAATTATTTATAAAAAATATATACTTTAAAATTATAATTATTTTAATGTAACGTAAAACGAACTTTAATGTAACTAATGTAAAAAATTGTTCTACGCAAAGAAATATCCGCGAAGCCTTATTTTCTATCGAATTAATTTATTGAATCTTATGTCATCCATTTACTCTGGCTTTATTTCATGCAAAGCCAATTAATATAGATGAATGAACTATACAAAATTAGGACAAAATCAGTGCGTTGCATACAAGTTGTATATATATATATATATCTATAATTAATAATTAATAACGCGATTTTCGTTAAATAAGTTGAATAAAATCTGCTGTGTAACTTATATATTCCTTCTCTTTCTTTCATTTATATGTATGCATATTGAAAAAATCTTTTAACATACTTTGAAATAAATATTTCTTTTTTGCACCAATTTGTAATACTTAATCCTGGAAAAATATCTGAGAAGAGAATAGACGAGTAAATAAAACATATTTAATTATTATAATAATTTTTTTCTATTGTATATATGTCAATTTTATTAACTTAATTTTTTTATTTGTTTATTTTACCTGATTTCTTAATTTTTAATTATCATTTATCTATTTATTTTTATTTGGAATGAAAAAGCATAGGATACACAAATAATCTCAACATATAATAATTATTCATATGAAAGACATAAAATTGTGAAATTTAAATTAAAGCTTTATATTAATAAAAACGCGTCAAAATTTTATATCTTAAAATTTTATATTCTATACTTTGATCTTTTGTTGATAATTCTTTAAACAATAGATTCAAAAAAATTCTTATAGATGTAATATACTGAATACTAATTAAGAAATGTAATAGATCAATACTATCAAATTATAAACGTTATTAATATGTCACGTTCTGATGAAAAAGATGATGTTCTCAACTAATATACTTAACGCGATATAAACGACGATTACAATGAGCTCTAACTTTTGACGAGCTCTACTTCCTTGTATACACAATAAACCAATAAATAGTGATATCCAGGATTAAATATTTGAACTAATTTAATCTAGTCCATCCATTTTAAGACAACAGATTTATGAGATATGATATATATTTTTATGTTGTTAATCGTGGATGCGTAGATATGTACATATATTGGATAAATTCTTTCTCATAAATCTGTTACCTCAATATAAAATAAAACTTTCTGACTCACCGACCCTGATGCGCAACGGGCGGAGTTATCTGCCACGTAGCTACGATGATACTGTAACACACAAACCGATTCAAATTAAAATAGAGCTCAAAATGACCAATACAACTATAGTTAAAAGATAGTTCTTACACGCAAAGGACTTTTAATTCATCATCTTTCAATGAAATATTTACTAATACAATTATCTATTTTCTGAATAAAAGATCTGTACAAAAATAAACTTTATATCAAAGTTTAAATAAATTCTCTTTCTCTAATTATTTCATAACTTATCGAAATAAAACGATCCGAATAAATGGGAAAGTACTATTAATTTTATGCAGATAAGAAATAATCCTTACCCCAAAGTTGCTCCGCCGAGGCCCGAAATCTCTCCCTCCTCTCAGGATGTCTGGATCGTCGGTCTCTTCCTGCTTCTCCCATTACTCAGGACACTCGCGGAAAACACTCGCGGATAATATACTACAATCGCGCGCGGACTAATTAATTATTAATAAAAGTCTTTTGCGCGACACTGCGGCACTCCACGTAAGATCTCCTCGAGAATCCCTTCAAAAGCTAGCAGCGTCTAGCCCTGCAAGGCAGACAAGTATATTTGGGACCACAATAACAATACCGGATAAGGGTTAAGCGCCACGCGGAAGAAGACGAAATCGATCGTGTCTAATCAATCGATCGAATTCTTACTGCTTAGAACCGAACCGTTTACCGGAAACAGGGTGTATTCTCAATCAGCTTTAAACTTTTACAGCGAAGGATAAAGTAAATTGAGATCCCATATATACTGGTCCCCTCACGAGTGACTCCCAGCCTCGGATTCAATCTCGGAGCCTTAAAAAAAGTCCATTAGTCCGATAACTTGAACGGCACTCCCGAAGCAAATGCGCGGCACGACGAACCGGCTGCGGCTCGTTTATTCAGTTAAATCGACGAGCAGGGTACGTGAGCTTCCCCGTCTTTGGGTTTTTATCCAAGCAGAACAAGGGTTTTGCTTTGGTAATCCTCGGGGTACTGGGTCCTCCCACCGCGCCAGAGTCGTATACCTATTATATATAGGAAGGAAGATATCGTCGGTGAAAAATTATACAATTTTATATATATAATACGTAGATAGGCTATGAACAATTAAATTAGAATTGACGTGTTATAAAGTAATAATTATTAGCATATTTTTTTATCAATTTAATTATTCAGGATATATTGTAATTTTAAAATATTTTTTTTTTTCTACACGTTTCTAAATTATAGATATATATTTAAGAGATTTCGGTATTTCTTTCATTTATATCATTTTATATATTTGACTCTGGAAGAAAAAAAGAAATGTTTAACGCGTCTCAGATTTTATTTAAAAAATATTTAGACAAAATAGAGAAGAGAAAATAAAATAACACGTCCAAATACTTTAATATTTTTTTTAATCTGTAGATAATGTATTTTATGATTTTATTTATTATTTTGTAAGTAGATACAATGGAATAAATATCTTGCTCTAATCTTCTTCGTCCATGAAATGTGAATATCATGAAGGAAATAAAATTAAATAAAGAATTTATATTCCAAAAATATTTTACTTATTCGTGTATAATTTTCTTATCCCCTTTTTATTTTTCATTTTTTTTATCGAAGTACTACGATTAAAAATTTAATTAATCACAATATATTGACGATTACAATATATTAGAGAATTAATAAATTATATCTTTATGATATCCCATTAATATTATTTCCTGAAATTTTATCTGCATATATAAAGTGTTTAACAAAAAGAAAAAAAGACATCTCTTCCAGATTTGATGGTAATTTTTTTTACAAAAATTATTGTGTTGCTAATTTAATCACTTTCTACCAAGCATTAACTATAAGAAATATATTTTATAATTTTCTTTTTATTTATATTCATTTATTCCTGTAAAAAAAATTTGCGACATGCTTCTAACGGTTTGTCTCTTGTAATTACTGCTCAGTTATGTAATAACTGTAGTATCGAAATATGCATTGCAAGTAAGTGATTCGTTCGATCAATAACGCGTCGATAATTACAAGCTCCGTTCTGTGAACTCTATACGTATGCGTTTTTGTGTGCACAATGGATTGCATTCCAGGATTAAACATTTATACCAATTTGTTCTAGCCTATAATTCATTTCAAGGCAATCGATCTATGAAATATGTGAAATATCTAACCATATTCACCCAATTACATCACCTCGAGTTAACAGAGAAAGATAATCTGTCTTGTCAACGAATTCTCCCATGTCTCATTCTCGTCTCAAGTCTCCTCGCTACACACTTCCAACAACAATAATCGCGAACATAGTCGAGACTCGAGAGCGAACCATTTGTCATAATATGGCAGTCGCGATACTTTATTTAGACACTCCCGACATGAAACGATCGTATTACGATCGTATTACGACGTTCTTCCGTGATTTAAATCCGATGATGCACCAAAACATTCATGCATATAAGTATATATACCGACGTGGATATTACGCGAGTCAAATCAGCAGCCAATTGAGCCGTTCCGAACAAACCGTCCGAAAATATACATTCGAGACACGTTCACGGTACAACACGAACGCGTGAATTTCGCGAGATGCAAATGCAATTAAACAGTTAACACATCACTGCGCTCCGTTACCTAAATCACACTATTGGCGTACTCCATTACATTAAATCGCGCGATCCGACGATTCGCGTACTACTCCGCGCTCTCGAAATGCAAAAGCGGATACTAATAAATTACCCTAAGATTAACGATTAATCGGACCGCGTTTGAGTTCAAGTATATCTTTTGAGAGATAATCAGGATTCATTAAGTAAATCGCGACGAACCGTTAACTCTCCGTCTGTATACGTGCAGAATTTACGACGTCCGAGCAAAAATAATATCTGCTTTTATCGATGGAATTCTTTAAAAAATGCGTTCTTAAGCAAGATGGCCGTGAGCTCCCCTTACTTCTTAGGAAGCAGGGTTTGTAACTATGCTCCCTCCTGTTCTTCTTATCTCCATGATACAGACGGAGGGTTAATCTAGTTTTCCGATTTCCTCTACGAATAAACCGCGCGAAGCGCCTGCAATGAACGACCAGCATCTCGGTGCGTGCGAATGGTGAGAATCGATCAGTCGCGTAGACGAATAATGTCGCGTAGACGATGATTAATAGAGGAAGAGGACCATGTACATATCTTTTCGATACCTGTGATACCATATCGTAATATTCACCGCGAAGGACTTCGCAGCGTAACAATATTATACGCGCGGAGCGGCACGCTCGGCTGGCTGTCGGCTCGAGTCACCGGACGAGAATGTCGAGAATGCCGGCGCGGCGAACTTTTTTTGTAAAGTCACACGGCGCCGGGCGCGGCCTGTGATTCGCGCGACGTCACGGCGTGACGTATGACGCCGCGGTTTATACAAAAAACAGTGCCGAGCGTGCCAACCGTCTCGCTGCCAATAATGGGTCTGTTTTCTATCGCTGAACTATTAGTTACTCCACATTAGAAGGAAAAAGATAAACTCTTTAACTAGTGCGGTCAGTTCGGCAATAGAAAACAGTCTCATTATCGATATAATAAAAATGACGTTTGATATATCTAGCGAATTAATGTACGCCGAATATTCCGTTCTTTACGCTTTGATGAACAGACTATTAAATCGCATACTTTGCGCACTGTTTTTAAACTCGCGTCAGCTGCCGTCACTAATTGAGTTAACAATTCTATTCGATTTTGAAAGCGCCTTGAAATTGTAATATTATAACTTGTGTTTTAATATTAAAATTAATTACTAATAATTTTTTTCATATATCTCTACATTTGATTTATTAAAAAGATTTTCGAGTTCCTTTCTTTTTTGCACGAATTTATATATTTAAATTATTTATATAAAATTTAATTGGAAGGAAGTAGGCCAAACGCAAGCCTTAGATTTTATTTGAAACTATTTAAACTGTTTAAACTATTTTAGTCTTACAGTCAAGAATCTTAGAGATTGCTTTTACATTTTGTATATTTTACGACAAATCACAGGAATCAGTGTTTTTGTGAAAATTTTATTCTACTCTTTTCTTTATCTTTTATTTGTTTATTATTTTTAAATTGGTTTTTTGTTGTAATTTTATGGTATTTTATATAAATATACATATATTTTTTTATAATTTTTTTAATTAAGACAATTTTTTATTTGTTTTCTTTTATAAACGCTCAAAACTTTATCTAGGCATTTAGCAGTTTGAAGTTGATAAATAAAGTTAAATAGTCCAGTTATAGTTTAATCTTGATAACAATTAAATATCTTTTTTCTATTGTTTCAGACGGATTATAATCGGCATCTTGAACAACTATTTGGGCGCGTAACGACTTTACTTATCGAGAGTCTGCAAACTTTAGCTATCGACAATTTGGGGCAAGTTGCCGAACTTCACAAACGTCTGGAGCAAGTACGAGACTTATTCGGTAAGTAAAACTATAGTTTATCGTCAGAAGAGGTTTTCTTTCTAATCACAATGAGAAATCTGATTTCCTTTATTGAAATTAAATCTTATCACTCACCATCCGTTCGCCGCCAGATGAAAACGTCGCCGGCGGAACAATGGCCGAGGAGACCGAGCGATTCTTACGTAAAATCAAGGAACTGTCGAACGTGGTGTCGGCGATGGAGCTTCGTGAGCCATCCCGCGAATCGGAGCTAAGAGATATCGAGTCGAGGCTGAGCAACTTGAGGATTCTCGTCGAGCAGGATAAATGCCTGAATGCCGGCGGAAAGTTCGAATGGGTGGACAGTGTGTTAGTAAAGGTATTCAATCAATGACACGCTTTTATACATTTCCTTATCATAGAGAGCTACATTTCCATTACTGAAATTTATGAAGACTCACTTTATGGGGATGTACCGTAGTATCACATGGTACTACCGCATGATACTAACGTATGTATGTGATAGAAGACATTTTGACAATGTTGCTTTAAATTATTCTCCGTACTTTGTAGTACCCGAACTTAATTTAGGCAACTCTAATACGTTATTCTTTACGATGCTTCTCATATTTTACATAGCGAGCGATAAAGTTGGGTTACTTCGAACTTTACTTCTCGCTACCTATCCTAATATTTTATCCTTGACACATGATAACGTAAGTATTACAAAAGTTTTAATAGAGTCGAAAATTGTGGTTTCCAAAACTTTCCAAACACGTGAAACTATTTCTATTCATTATTTATATCAATTTTATTGCATTTCCTCTTTATTATAATATATTAAATGTAATATGACAGTTAATGAGTTGTCAAGCTAAAGTAAAACGTAAATATTCATCTGGTTATTTTGCAATTCGGCAATATATCAAAAAACATTTTAAATCTGTTATATTAAACAATTTTTTTAGCGCAGTTATATTGTAATTTCTTACACATCCGTGAAAAGCTGTATATTATAGAATCTCATTTTCCAATCAGCAAAACTTTGCTAAATGAAGCTAAAACTTTGTTTCGTCTAAAGTAATATAACGAAGTCATCTTTCAGTGCTTACAAGACGGTACTTGGCTGCTCATCGACCAGGTTAATCTGTGTAGCCCGGCTGTATTAGACAGACTTAATGGACTGTTAGAGCCGAACGGTGTTCTCAGTATCGGCGAACGAGGAGTTGATAGCGAAGGCAATGTCATTACCATCAAACCGCACGAAAATTTTCGCTTATTTCTAACCATGGATCCCCGATACGGCGAAATTTCCAGGTGATTTATATCTCTTGGCACCAACATGTCAATAATTAAATCGTATGATTTTTTACGTCAATTATGTGCAAAAGTCGTGAGATTGAATTATTATCCTACTCCGAAAATATTACGTCATATATTCTCGCATATTTCCTATGCAAATATATTTTCCAAGATCTGACAAAAATGGAATAAAAAGCTGCCACCAAGACGGCAACTTTACATTACAATATAATGTTTGAAAAATATATGATAATCATTTTATACATTCAACATGTTGCAATAAAGTTTTAAAATCATGAAATTATTTTGTGAAATCAGTTATATCAATTATATCGCGACAGAATAATTTTAGATACCCATTAATACAAAATACAATTGACGATTTTAGGGCCATGCGTAACAGAGGCGTCGAGATTTACATGCTCGGCTCGAAGGAGAACGTCAACGAGGATGTAATCGATTTCAAGTCGCTGTTACTTAACGCCGGCATTACGAAGTCCGCGCATCGCGACGCACTGCTCGAGATTTACGACAGAATGTCGGAGGAGATCGTCGCCGTGGACCGATTCAGCGCGATCGATTTGCTGCACACCGCGTTCTTGGTGAAGCAACGGTCGCTGCGCGGATTCCCCGCGGAGCAATCGATCAGGAACGCGTGTATCGACGTCTACGTGAAGTCTAGATCGTCGCGAGATCCGCGTTTCAAAGACCATCTGACTTCCCTGATCGATGAAATTGTTGAGCGACATGTCGCGCGCGATGATGAAGAGATGTCGATGATCGATTTGGATGCCGCCACGTGGAGCGTGAAGAATCTGCAAGACAATTCGAGACTCGTTAGGATCAGGCAACAAGGCTTACTATTGAACGCTGCTGTTAACATGTACAAATCATCCCTAAAATCTGATTCGGGAAATATCGAAAGAGATATTGTTACGACGAAGTTGTTGAACGACTTCTGCGGTCTTAAAGAGGATGAAAAGTTGGACGTTGACGTTGCTGACGTATTGCCGTATCTCCTCTTGAATTTTTACGAGCAATCCTCGCAAGACGACGCGCCACTCAGGAAGGAATGGATCTCGAAGATGTTGCGAGGAGACGCGATACTTGACGATCTTGAGGAGAAGAACGCGCTATGGGCGAAAATAATCGCAGATTTTTGTTTCGAATCTGCAAACGCGAGAAGTTCGTTACCCTGGGATCTATGGCAGCTCGTTGGAAAGGATCCTTCCATCGGAGGACTTAGCGACGCGAATAAATTGTTACTGTTGCTATATGCATTCGGTATGATTCTAAAAAGTGATACATCGCAAAAGAAGACGGAGATGTTGGAGAACAAAGACTTGATATCCGTGAAACTATACTCTAGCGTTGTAAATGACGGTAAATATTCTAGATTAAGCTAACGATGTCTAATTTAATTATATTATCAACAGTATCGCATCTTGAATTGAAAAGTCTCACAACTTAGTCATTTTTTTAGGAAATAAAACTGCGAAGTGCAATTAAGCCTATCAATTCGTAATTAACGCAATATCTTATTTCGAAATCATGAATTTTTTCCGGAATAAAACAATTTATTTAATTAGTTTATCTTATAAATAAAAGGTTAATAATTTTAATTTGCAAGAGTATTCGATTTCTCATTTATTACTTTTTAGTTTTGCTTTCCGTTTTAAGGCACGATGTTTTTATTAGATAGACCATTAGTAAGATTTTTTACTTACAGGTAAGCTACTTTCGCAATTGAAAAACCAACCGCTCATAACGTGCTTCGTGCAATTCCTTGAACAAGCGCATTCTTGCATCAAAGCGATTTTACAAGATGTAAAGGTAAATGTCGACAGTTACGTCGAATGGAGAGCAGGGTTGAGATGGTTCGCGAGATTTGAAAGACTGGGCGAAATTACGCTCATAGATAAGTCAAAAAAGTCTAAAGACGTGGTCACAAATTTGGAACAGACTTCTCTGTTACTAAGAGTGCATTATAAATGGCTACTGAAGTTCCTACGTAAACTACTCCTGAGAGCCAAAGAATATTTGAGCGTAGAAACCATGAGCGTAGTAGTCAAACGGCTGAGGGAGATTATAAGCCCCATAAACAACCAACTGGAATCGATATACGATCCTGTCAGGAAGATATCGAAAAGAATCAAGAAAGAATTGACCCTCCCACCGCCTCATTCCACGAAGATCAGCATGGAAGTGCACTCGGAACTAATGAGGATAACGAGGGACTTCGATGTGAGAGACGAAGGAGGCAGCACCCTGAAACAAAAATTGAAGATTATATCCGCGCAGTTTGAGAACACGCTGGCGATGAGACAGCAAACGATTTCCTTGTGGAGCGACATTTACTCCAGGAAGTCGAGCGACGGAACGACGTTGCAAACCGTTAACGAGGTAGAAAACTTCTGCAAAGAGAGCCACATTCGTCTGCGAGGTCCTACGGAAGTCGAGGATATTCTGAACAAAGTACGCTCTCTTCCAAAAGAGGAAATGACGCAGCTGAACACGAGGACACAGTTGTGGCCAATTTACGAGTACGTGTTTCTGTCGCTCGCCTGTACTCTGCAAGGAGAAATGTGTCGGAAAGCAACGATTTCCGGTGTCGCTTTGGCCAAATGTCTTGCGAGATTCGCGGATGTGGCCAGTATACCGAGCGATCATATCGCTTTGGCCGAATGTCTTGCGAGATTCGCGGATGTGGCCAGTATACCGAGCGATCTGATGGGCTTGTTGAGCGCGATAGCTCGAAAGGAAGTCGTGCAAGGATCAGAACTCTTGTTGCTGCCGGAACTGTTCCGCTGTCTCGAACAGTTTGTTCAACGTTCTTACGCTTTTAAGGATTCGAGCCGCCTTTTGCACTGGCGCGGTATAACGGAGGAAGATATAGAGACATCGGTAACTTCCTACACCGAATCCAAGGTTTGTGTCTTATTTTTGTATAGAAATTACTAATATTAAATTTTCAGCAGTTAGGAACTCGAAACTGATTGTTAATTAATTATTATTAGGAGATATTTCAAACACAATTAATCTAATCAATATATACAATTTTGGGGTACGTGTGATTGATGTGGTGTGCCCCTAAAAATAGCCATTCGGCGCTCTATGAGTCGGATAATGACTTTCATTAGTATGTGCCCAATTCGACTCTTAATGAAAGGACCGATTGGCCGCTTAGTAATTTGATGGAATCGTTTATAAACTTAGTCGGCGCGGCCAAGGGCTCGCGAGAAAGTGCGTTTTGTCTGCTTAGTGTGATGCCGTTTTGATAGAGACACACGTGGCCACCACACAATTAATGTAATATTTATAATTTACATAATCATAGATATATAATTATCTTTCAAAATTTTAACTACTTCTCGAAACTTTTCTAAAGTTTCTCATTTAAAAATATATCGTTTTATTCATTTATTTATAGAGGGAATTTATATACGTCGGTGGACCCGTTCTCTTGAAACTAGTACTGCAATTAATGTTGAATAAAACAAACCAAGAAGAAGAGAATAATGTTTTTTCCACAATCACGCTCGGAACATATGCGGCGCAAGTGAATCAGCTGCAACTACTTAATGAGATTTTGTGGCGCAATAGTATCTCGTTAACAAACTCCCGACGCGATTCAAGCCGTAGCGATTTAGCAACATTAACGTTTTACTTGCACTTATATGTATCCAAATTTCCGGTCGACAAATCAAAACTGTATGAGATACTTGGAATCTCGATTGACGCCGACGGAAAGAATCTTAACCGGAATCCTGAAATCGACCTGATTAGAGTCGATATAAAAAATTGCGAAGACATGGAGCGTAGGTTGACGAGCGATTATCTCGAGCCGAAGGAAGAATTGAACAAAGCGTATGACAAAATAAAGATTATGAATGAGGAGACGGTCCTTCAAGAAAAAGACACGCTTCAACGGGGAAGAGCGTGGATGATACTCGGTTACATGCAATTGTTACTTTTTGGAAATTTGGATCTTATCGATCCCGTGCATAAAGTGGAATTGAAATTCAAGTATCTGGAGGAGGACATCGCCGATTGCAAAAAGACGATATACGTTACAACGTTGCAGGATCGTATTCTGGGTATATCACCGGTGATGGATGAGCGAATCCATCCGAGATCAGCATTCACAAGCACCTACAAGAACGAGAAGTTCTTGTTGAGGGATAATCTCAGCTGTCTGAGAGCGTTCAGGCCACCGCCCGTCAAATTTGCCTCGCTCAGCAAAGACTGCGCCGATTTCAGGAACGGAGTAGGTTCCTACACGAAGGTGAAGAAATACATGAACAACCTGTGTGATATCGGAACCAAGATCATTGAAAAAAAAACGCGTGGAATCAGATGATCGTGTTTTGCGAGAAGCGGAAAACTGGAGCTTATCAGTGCAAGGGTTCGCCGAGCGGATCGAGACGAATTATCTGTCAGATTATCCGGACGTGATTTCTCCATTACTGACTGCGCTGGCGCAGTTAAATCACGGCGTTTCCATACTGATCAACGAAATCCGACGACTGATATCTTTGTATAAAACCGATGACGCGGATTTCGAGCGTATGATGAATTTGATCAAGTTTCCGACGATCGGCGGGTCGTCGGTCGCTGATCTTTCACGTCTAAGTAGATTATGCGTTTCCGAGAGCGTAAGGAATCTCATCGGCGAGTATTCGTCTTCCACAGATACGTTCGTTAAAATGCGGGAGCAGTTCCGGATATTGAAGTCGGGTTTGCACGAACTACGTAATTACGTAATTGTCAACAGAGGTCTGACTAGATCAGAGTGGCGAGACATGAATAAGCTGCTGCAACAGATAGTTCTGATCTGGAAGCAGCAGCAGCAAGAGGAAGAGAAACGGGCCGCGGAGAAAGACAGCTTGTACAAGAATAAGATCGAGAATCACGGCGACACGTTGACGGAGAAGGAAGAGCTCGCTCTGGAAGTCCGCAAGTTGTTCCCAACGCACCGCGAAAAGGACTCCTTTGATCGAAAGGAGATCCAATCAGACGAGACGGAAATGAGCTTCACCGGTCTCGTCACCAAAGACGACATCAGGGAGATCCAGCAGATCCACTCGAACATCGTCACGTCTTACATCGCCACCAAGTGGATATGCAACAGTTCTGCTGCGGCGAGTTCGACGAATTACATCGGGCCTCTGATTCAAAGGTACAACGTGGTGTACGGGATACTCGACAACATTCTGCCGAGTTTAAGCGAAAAATTTGCGGTCAAATTGTACAACAGCTTCAACTTCCTGGTCACTTTGGGGTTGCAAGCGAGTCGAGAGAAGAGCGCGGATCGGAATTTGTTGGAGAACATCGAAGGACAAATGAGAGCATACGATTTCTACAAGGACTGCAACGTTGAGGAAGTGGAGAAGTGTCTACCATTGTGCGAGAGTATCCTGAATCGTGTCGATCAGCTGCTGCTGGAGGAGAGACCGGAACACCCCACTTTGAGATCGATACGATGCATAATAGAAAGGATCTACACGTTCTCGATCACTTCACCTGTCTCCATATTTCTGACAGGTTTGGTGTTGCTGTTCGACGAGATGCACAAATTGAAGGAGAACGCGCATAGCGGTGTCATAATCACGGACCTCATGTCAGAGTTAACGCAGCGGATAGAATCCTGGAGGAAACTAGCGCTAAAAAGCTGGAAAGGTTGCCTCGATACAACGTACAAGAATCTCAGATCGGATACGTCCAAGTGGTGGTTCTTTTTGTACGCGCTGATCGAAAGTTACGTTATGAGACCCGAGAAAAATAACGTCCAGCAAGCAAACGACGAGCCTATCACCAGGCAAAAGTTGGTAGAATCACTGGAGCGTTTCATGAACGAGTCGTCCCTCGTCGAATTCGAGTCGCGCTTGGATCTCCTCTTGACGTTCCACTGTCACGTGTATTACTTCGACGACAGCGACAACAAGAACGAGCTCTTGGCCGTATTGTGGAACATGTACAATTATTACAAGCAATTCGTAGACGATGTGAATGCAAGGATCGCCGCTTTGAAAGCGCCCATCGAGAAGAAGCTGAAGGACTTCGTTGAGATCGAGCTATCTCAGCGATCGAACGATATCAACTATTCGGTTGTGAAGGAGAAGGTCGAAAAGACGCATCGCAAACTGCATGAATACGTAAAGGAATTTCAGAATGCCCTGAAACAAAACGTGTCTTCTTGCTTGACTGTTAAGTCAGAATCTTATAGTACAGAGATGAACAAGGGCATCTGGGATGATGGAGAACATCGTAGGCACGTGATGAACCCTGAAGATTTTATTATACCACCAGCTGTAAACGTGGAAGTACAGTTAAGTGGGCTTGTCAAAAGAACAGGGACAGCCAGGCGTCTATGCAAAGAGATAGTCCTGGCAAATTCTTATCCCCAGGTACGAGAAGAACTTGAAAATTTCATCGAAGATTACATGGAGCAGAGCGCGCGTCTTCGGAATACGAACGTCAACAGAAGTTTACCGAAGAATAAACAAAAGTCTGAAGCGAAGAGCTTTTTGCATCAGAAGAAAAGTACGCTCTCCAAGTACTTCAAGACGTTGAAGACTCAGATAGGCATATCCTATCGCACTGGTATACAGGCGTTGAAAAATGACCCGGACAAGGTGATAGACTTCACGGTGCCACCTTTGGATCTGAGTATAATCGGCCAGTACTTTAAACTGAATAAACCTGATCAGGATATGCTGATGCAGTGGAAAGGCTGCGAGAAGTATTATTATAAATCTCTCATCAGGTTGAACGCTCTCAACGCGATGCTCAGCACAAGCCAGACCGATCTGGGGCTGCGGAACATAGAATGTTGCCGAGGATATTCCGCGCATTTGATGATGATGGCCCACAAGAAGAAGACGACCCTCGTCCAGACATTCAATTATTTCTCGTTGCTTCGCGTACAGATTTCGAGTCTGTCCGAAACGCACGAGCAGGATCTGTACGGGGAGAAGCGGGAAATAGGACATGAATGCGCGGAGCACCTGAAAACGTTGCTGATTACGTTGGAAGTTGGATTCGAGCAGCTGCTGCTGTTTCTGCAATGCTGTCCCGCGAAATCATCAACGGATCCGAACAGAGCGGCACTTACGTTGGACGCGAATGCACTTCCTATAATCGCTGGCTCTCAAAATGACGAAGTTTGGAAAAACGCGAACGCTCTGCTGAAGGATAATTTGAATTCAGTAAGAGATACCGCAAAACGTTTCCACGCCTTATTCATGCCACTTAAAATCTTATCGGAAAATCAACCTAAAGCCAGCCATAATTTACCTTTAAGTTCGAAGAACTTTGAATTCGTGAAGCAATGTTGTGCGACAATCGAAGTCCTAAGAGCGCGAACTAAGGAATTAAAACGACTGTTTGAGCACAACTTGAACGTTGTACATTCTATCTGGGACAATATAGAGTCATTAGACAAGAAAATGGAATCTTTCCTTTGTTGCGTCGAAAAATTTAGAACAGGTATACAAAATAGAGAGCAATCAGGAGAAAAAAATCACAATATCAAGCAGTATGAATCAGCTCTAAAATGTCTAGAAGAAAAGATATTACTTGTAATACAGAAGAAATACAAAGCTCATACTGAGAAAGATGTGCCGCGCCTCAATGAGAAACCGAACGAGGAAAATGATAACAACATAGAAAAAGAAGCAGAAGAAAAATTAATGGTGAAACTTGTTGAATTGCTTGAACAGGATATAACCGAACTGGAGCTGTCTAACATATACAATTTATTTTTACAATCAGCAGACTATTGTACCAGGTAAGGATTATTTGACTATTCAACATTTACTATTCGGGTGGCATAGATGATTTTAAAATATAATCAATATAATGTGATGTTTCTTTTGAGAAATCTTTTATTGAACAAAAGCATATTATTTTTCTATACCTATAAATAAAAACAATGTTAATAAATTTTTACTAACGTGAAATAGAAGCTGTAAATTTCATGAAATTAATAAGTATATATATTTTTTTTTCAGGTCGCTCGTAAAATATTTACCTCTACTGGAACAATATATCTTGCTCGTGCAGTTTTATTTAAACGAGCAGGTGGCATCATTCCGTATCACGTGTAAAATGCTGTACCTGCAATTAAACGTATTCTTAGATCTGGCTGCAAATGGGTTCTGCGTGCCAAAGGATTTAGATCTCGAGGAAAACGATTCAAACGAGTCAGGCGAGATGACAGAGAAAGGCGGAATGGGTTTAGCTGATGGCGAAGGAACGAGAGACGTTTCCGATAGAATAGAATCCGAGGATCAGCTTGAGGATGCAAGACCCGCGGATCAAGAACGGGAGAAACAAGACGATAAGAATTGTAAGGAAGAGGAGAAGGGAATCGACATGTCTGAGGATTTCGACAGTCAGCTTCAAGATATGGAGAAGAACGATAGTGATGAAGAACAGAGCGACGATGACGAAGAAAACGATTTGGATAAAGAAATGGGACAGACGGGAGAAGGCGCTGAGCAGCTTGATAAAGAAATCTGGGGCGACGATCAGGAAGAATCCGAAGAGGACAACGAACAGCCGGAAAACGAGGATGAAGAGGAAGGCACGGGCGAACAAATCGGTGAGAAGGAAATGGGCGCGAGGGATGACAGAGATAACAGAAAACAGGAAGACGATGACGACACAGATGAAAATCGACAAGTGGAAAATAAAAAGGAGATAAACGAGCTGAATGAACCAGAAGTAGATGAGGATCAAATTAATCCTTATCACGGCAAGTTCCAGCCTCAACCGGAACCCGAACCGCTTGATTTACCGGAAGACTTGAATCTGGATGAGGACGGTAAGGAAGACAAGGGGGGCGAGGACGAGAATCCCTTCGACATCGACGAGATGAAGAAGCCGCCGCCAGAGAAGCAGGATGTAGAACTCGGGAAAGAATCTGAGGAGACTAAAGAAAATGATTCTGGGGAGAACTCCAGCGAAGACGAGAACGAGAATAACGATAATACGGATAAAGAAAACAAAGCGGAAAGAACAGAGGAAGAGCTCGAAACTGATAAGGAAACTGAAGAGAAAAGTGGAGAGAATGCGGGAGCCGAGAACAAAGACGAGGAGCAGAATCGAGATGAAGAAGCGGAGGAAGACAAATTACAAGAGAAGGCAGCGCCGAGTGCAGATGATGCGAGCAAGCAAATGGATGCTGCGCAACAAATTGAGGAAACGATGGAAGGTTCACGGGACACGGTGGCGCAACAACCAGACACGAAGGATCAACAGGAGGAAACTTCAGCCGAAAATACTCAAGAGGATAATAATGATAAAGGCACAGGCCAGTCGCAATCGGCACAACAAGAAAGCGGGCATTCAGGATCATCTAAGCAGGAAACTGTTCCGGCACCGCAGACCAACGCTATGACGAAACCAGTCGAGAAGAGGAAGAACCCGGGCGAGAGCAACGAGGATCGCAGTCTGTTGGATAGATTTGAGCCGACGCTGAAGAAATTGAAGACGATCTACTCGCAGGACGAGATATCGAAAGATGAGAAGGAGGACGATGCGAGCAATGCTGATGGCGACAAAGCCGAGATGGCTCAACACATCAAGGAATCTGAAAGATTTGACGATTGCACGCTCGACGCCGCGACGGAAGATCAGGTCAGACAACAAGCTTCGAATACGGATAAAGATGAGAATGAAGAGGAGAAAAAAGATGACACTATGGACGTAGAGATGCACGAGGATAAAGAGAACGACGTGGCGGATGATAAAATAAATGAGCAGAAATCCGAAAAGATCTCCGAGATTACAGATAACAAAGGCAAAAAGGATTCTGATGGTAAAAGAAACAACGTGGACGACAATCAGACGGAGACAATGGTCGAATTGGAAGGCGAAACAGCAGAAACTATGAAAGTGCAGAGAGGAACTGAATCTACATTTCACACGATGGAATGGAGCGTGGAAGAGAGTGATCTTGCCTCTGGTTACGCGGAAAGAAAGCGATTCGAGGTGGAAAAGATGTTGGGCGAATGGACGCAAATGCCTTCGACGGAGGAAGCCACAGCCGCATGGAATCGTCTATGTTCGGTCACGGATGCAGCCGCTAGGGATTTGTCCGAAAAATTAAGATTGGTGTTGGAGCCCACGCAAGCGTCGAGATTGAAGGGCGATTATAAGACGGGCAAACGCATCAATATGCGAAAAATCATCCCTTATATAGCCAGTCAATTTCGCAAAGATAAAATCTGGCTCAGGCGCACGAAACCGTCGAAACGTGACTATCAGATCGTCCTCGCATTAGACGATTCCAGCAGCATGGCAGATAATCATTCTAAGGAATTGGCCTTCGAGTCTTTGTCACTGATTAGTAAGGCAATGACGTATCTGGAAGTAGGACAACTTAGTGTCATAAGTTTCGGGGAGCAGGTGAAAGTGTTGCATCCTTTAGGAGAACCTTTCACAGAACAAAGTGGATCCAGGTACCTTTACTTTTACATAATCTTTATATGCATTTAATATTAAATTAAATATAAGCTCAATAGTTTAGGAGATAAAACTAGACAAAGAATATTGATCTTACAATTAGTCACTATTTTACATATTCAAATTTATCAGTCATAGCTGTTTAAGAACTTAATCAGGATAATCTTATTTTATTTTATTTATTTCATGTAAAAATTGGAATTTTATAGCCATTTCATGTTTCTTTTCCGTTTTTTTCTTTACAGGCTAATACAAGAAATGAGGTTTGATCAAAAAAAGACAATGATTGGGCAATTAGTCGATTTTACGGTGGACATGCTCGAGGATCAGCGTACTTCATCCGACAATGCTAAACTGTTGGTAGTACTATCGGATGGTAGAGGGATATTTTCAGAAGGAAAAGAAAAAGTGAATTATGCTGTCAGGAGAGCTAGACTTGTAGATATCTTCCTAGTGTTCATAATAGTCGACAATCCAATTAACAAGGTAATTCTTAGTTCACTTCTTAAAATGATCATGTTATTAATAATCATCGAAATAATAATAATAGTTCATTTTCAACACTAAAAAACTTTAAGAAATGATTATTAAGTCTGATTGTTTATTTTTTCAGGATTCAATATTAGACATCCGTATGCCTGTGTTCGAAGGAGGAAAATTGTTAGGAATTCGATCATATATGGATAATTTCCCATTTCCATTTTATATGATTCTTAAAGACATAAACACATTACCGGGAGTTCTGAGCGATGCCTTACGTCAATGGTTTGAAGTAGTTGGAAAAATTGATACTTAGACTGATAAATGTAATTTAAACATTCAAACTTTTAAATTTGAAGCTGTATAAATAGTGGAGGCAAATTAGGTTTTTATCTCAAAACCGGTTCCGAGATAACGCACTGTTTTGGTCTAATTTGCCTCCACTAAAATAATAAAACATAGTGTATGAATATATATTATATATATTCCTTATTTAATAAGTACCTAATAATAAACAGTAAAATTTGTGATATGTATATGTGTGTATATATATAAATAATATATGTATATGTATAACATGCACACACAGACACACATCATAATATAATATACGTTTCATAATCTTTTAGATGTATATTTCAAAGAAATTGTAATAAAAAATATAAATGCGTTTTAGTAATATGTTCTTCAGTAAATCACACATACAAAAATTATCATTAAAATTAATCTTATAACACTGGACATTGAATTGTATGGTAATGATTAATATGAATTAGACTGTAATTTATTAGATTATAATGAATTTGACATTCAACTTTCACATAAATTTAATTAATTTTATCGCAGCCAAAATAGTATATAAATCTTTATTTTAAATGATGAATTTTTTATATAGAAATTCATCATAAGAACATTACAGCAATAATTCAATAATTGAGGCAAGGCTTAGATTATCTAATATTCTAAACTGTTCTAACACATAAATGTCGTCTGACTCATATATGTCATTATTGGTACATACATTGGTACATACTTATTCCAGTCATACTTCCAATCGTAGTAAATTACACAGCATATTGATAGTAAAAAATTCAAGTATTTTGTACTAAGCTCAACCAGCTTCTGCCTTCTTCATCTACAGAAGTCGGAAATCTGATCTGCACTAATCGCACGTTCTTGTTCTCTCCTGAAGCTGGTACAACTATCGTCTCGCCTTCATCATTCTCGTTAAAAGCGTATACCGTTTCTACTTGATTAATATCGGGTTTATTTTCTACAATTTCAGTTTTCACAAACTCCATCTATAAAACAAAATGTAGCGTTTAATGCAATAAATTTATTTCGTAGCAAACTTCTAAAAAAAATTATATTATTTTACTTGATTTTCGACGACAAGATGGTCGACTTCGGCGCTTACAACTTCTTCTGCCGGAATATTTAACACAACATCCTCTTCATTATATATCTGATCTTCCCCTTCTTGTTGTATAATCACATGATCTTTCAGTTCGGTCACATATAACCCAGTTTCGTCCAGCTGAATATATAAGTAACAAAATATATATATATATATATATATATATATATATATATATATATATATATATATAATATTTACGTAATAAAACTTCGCACGTTGTGCGAATATATATTCCACGATATTGTATGTACATTGTGTGCAATAAAACAACCGTTCTTAAATCAAGAATAAATGTACTACGAATATTATTGTACATTTTTCATTTATGAGGATATAATTGTATAAAAATATATAATTTATACACACGTTATATCTCTTACACAAAAAAATTACCTGTTGTTGATTCTCAACTTCTTCCATCAACAGTTCGCCATTATTATTGGGAATAGTTATTACTTGATCGTCTTCCGTCGTCAGTCGCGGTTGATTCACTACTATGGTATCATTTAAGTGACCCTAAATAATGAATAATATTCTAAATGTCAAGCTATAACGTGTTACAATACATAATAATAATCTACCGTACCATGACTATGGAATAACATGTAACAAAAATAGAAAGAGTTTGCTAAAGCTCAAAATGTTTTCTCATATATTACCTGAGTTTGCATGTGTGCATAAAGTAATGGTTTTCTCATAAAGCCCATGCCACACACTAAACATTCATACGGTTTTTTATCGCTATGTATAAATCTATGAGCGTTTCTGTTATCTCTGCTGTTAAATGCTTTGCCACAGACCTGAAACAGAGCGCATCTATGAGAAATGCAAATTAAACGTAAGAATAAAAACGACCGGATGAGAAACAATTAGAGAAAACGTTTTGATCATTTTAAAGCACATACCTCACAAAGATATGGTTTCTCGCCTGTATGTATACGTCTGTGCTTCTTGAAATGCTCAGGATAGACAAACGTAGCTGTACATACTTCACATTTATACGGCCTTTCGCCAGTATGCGCCGCTTTTATATGATAATCCAATAATCTTCTTCTTTTGAAACCTTTTCCACACTCCTCACACTTGTAACGTTTGTCGTTATAATGCGTCGCCCGCTTATGGGATTGTAGATTCGATCTCTGACTGCAAATAATAGTAGTGATATTAATCGCGTTTGCGAACAATTAATTTAAGCATAGAGAATTTCTGTGTAACCCTCTAATTTTTCTGTTACTCACCTAAATACTCACCTAAATGTTGCTCCACAAAACTCGCATTGATAAGGTTTTTCACCTGTGTGAGTTCTCTCATGATCACGTATTTCTGCTTTACGTGCAAACGCTTTGCTACATATTTTGCACATGTAGGGTTTATATCCGGTATGTACTATGTTATGTACCTCTAAATTGTGAGATGAGGTAAAAGCCTTCCCTTTAAATTTAAAAAAAGATGATTGTTAAAAAGCGAATGAGATGTTAACATAAAAGGGATAACTATTGAATTGGCACAAGAAGTATCAAAAATATTAAATATTAATATTATATGAAATATATATCAATCTTACCACACTGATGGCATATATATTCCTTTATCCCATTATGCGTCCGTTCATGTTGAGTCAAATTTTGCTGGCTTAAAAACGTTTTATTACATCGAGTGCACTCGAATGGACGAGGTCGTACTTCATGTGTTTTTACGTGTGCTTTATACGTATACTTGGATGCGAAGTCCTTGTTACAAGTCTCGCACACGTATGGGCGAACACCCGTGTGTGTGTTCATATGTTCCTCTAATAAATTTTTGGAACTAAATCGAAGAAAAAAAATATATATATTATCTCTCCCTTTCTATTTTATTTATATTTCATAGTTTTATGTTGGTTTCACGATACTATACTTGTATTTTTTCCCACACGTCACGCAGGACCATGATTTCACTTGGGGATAATGTATCCTTTTATGAATTCGGAATAGTCGCAGATTACTAAATATTCTATTACATATCTCGCATTGAAAGTCACCTTCCTCCTTCGCGACGTGATCGTCGAGATGCATGGAGAGTTCGTTTCTCTTTCTAAAATCCTGTCCACATACGTCGCAAATATACAAACGAATTTCGTGCACCTCTTTCATGTGCACTACAATGACTTTAGCATCTCCCGTGAATCTCTCCTCGTCGTTTGGACACAAGCAGCAGGTGTACGAAGATTCATCTTTAAATACAATCTGAAAAAACGTCATAACATAATCCATATACCATAATTATTTATAATTTATGTTGCGAGAATAAGAATTCTTCCGCGTACGTACATTTTCCTGAGGGCGATGTACTTTAACTTTGCTCTTCTTCGATTTCTTTTTGCTATCAGAACTATTTGTTTCGTCCGCTTCTTCAACCGTGAATTCTTCTGATTCTACAAGCAGTTCTCCCTCCTCTTGTGTCTCTGTATCGTCCTCTGGTGCATAATCTTTATCTTCTTCTTGCACTTCCTATAAATATTACAAATATAGTTATATGCTACTAAATTATAACTGATAAATAATTAATTGATTTTGAATCAAGCTTTACGTGACATCTTACCTCTATTGTGTGTTGACTTTCCGTATTATCAGTATAATCATGATCGTTGTAATCTTCATTTTGAAGTATGTCACATAATTTTTTAACTTCAATTGTCTTCTTATAATTGTTACATAACTCCATTTTGACTTCAGTTAATTTACTTTCAAGTTCGTCCACCTAAAATCGTAAAAAAAAGGAAAATGTAATTTTCGACCAATTCGATAAATTTTTGATCGAGGAAATTGCAAAATCGCGCGAAAAATCGCCGTTTAACGTAATTGCTTTACCTCATTGAACAGCTTAAAACATTTTTTACAAATGACGTGGGAATGCGCAGATTCCTCATTGATATCGATTTCTAAAACAGCTGATATAACATCCACCAGTGATCTCTCACTTGCAGTGCAACTGGAATCATCAAAGATGCGAATACTGTTTCGAGTGGATACCCCAATTTTACTGTCGCACACTAAGCATTGTATGGAATCTTTATCGGAGTCAGCCATCATCTTTTACCGCTGCAATTGATATATTTTATTGTTAGTGATACTAGATGTAAAGATATGTAATTTGTAAGTTTTATTCTGCCTGCCTATTAACGAAACTTTCAGATATTTTGTAGTCAGAGTAATAATTTATTTTTAAGACTCATGTCTTAAATATATACGAGCCTCTTAGAAGTCACACTGATCAACTTTGTTTTATTCCTTAACTTTAGCAGAGGACACGATTAGATTATAATTTTTTCAATTTTCTCTACTTTTTATCTCGTGGAGTTTATCAATTTGACTTCTGAGAGGCTTCTTATGTATGAATCTATTCATTATGTCTCAGTAAACAAAATATTAGCAGTCTGCCAAGTAGATTCGAATGGAATGTTGTGATAAATTACACAGGCCAACAAAAAAAGAAAAGTTGTCTGCGCCATGGACTAGAACATTGTATTCCCATGTATTTTCACTTGCTGAAACCGAATATGACCTCAGTTTTGCCCCTACACGTCAGGATTTTTTTCTACAGCCAAAAACAAGATGTTTTGCTCACCTTGTTTTTGGCTGTAGAAAAAAATCCTGACGAGTAAGGGCAAAACTGAGGTCATATTCGGTTTTAGCAGGCGAAAATACATGGAAATACCATGGTCTAGTTAGTCCATGACGCAGACAACTTTTCTTTTTTTGTTGGCCTGTGTTATAAGCTCATGTTGTAAAATCTAGTTACTGTTCCATTTATACATATACATATATTGTACTTATTCATTATACGGGCGCCACTTCCGATCGTTAGCTTCAATTACCTTGATCTTGACATAATACGTGTTGTGGTCATGATTCTAGTTTTATTTCGTATACAATTCATTACGTTAAAATGGTATCATCGTACGATTCGCGCGGAAAATTAGAAATCCATGTGGAACCACATTTCATTAAGAATAATAACTGTATTTTCAACTAGAAGAAAATTAAAAGTGGCGTATAATAAATAAATATCATATATAATGCATAAGTGGAATACATCATTTACAAATGGTTACAAAATAGCAGATTCTGCTCTGTTTTTACAATCAAAATCTGCCATCATATTCCGTTAACAGATTTATATTTCTATTAGCGTTCTGCGGACAAAGCCTGCGCACGTTTATTCCCCTGGTAACACAATCTGATAATTCAGATACGTCCCAAAGAAGTGCGCAAGAAAACAGTCCAAAATTGCGACAGAAACGCATAATATCTGTGATTGAACGAGTATATACTTACTGTACTATTGCAGCAGTCTGCTGTAAGAAGCTACTGTGAAATTTTATATATAAAAACTGTCGCACGTCTTGCGCATTTCTGTTGCAATTTTGGACTGTTTTCTTGCGCACTTCTTCGGGACGTATCTGAACAATCAGATTGTGTTACCAGGGTCACATTGGGAGCTATTGGGAGTAAGCAACGCAAGCATAATGCGCCAACACTTGGCAAAATCTGTTTTTAACAGATCCCAGCAAACGCCAACCAACAGTCTCATTACATCAATATATCATCATTTCCTACAATTAACTTTTATGTACATGTGTTGTATATACACTTATATAATTATAATATTGTATAATGTCATCGTTAGTTGGCGTTTGCTGAGATTTTACTGAAAATAAACTCATACATTTTTTTCTGCATATTTTGACCCGTTATTGCGATTAGACATTGAAAAGAGTTTTCGACATGTTAGGCATGTATAATCGCGCCAACTGTTTTTTTAATGCGAGTCATAAGCGTGTACGGTCATCAGTCAACGACGCCGAAGCGCCGGGCGTCGTTTGTCCTCTTATCGACGCGCAAGACGTCGACGTCCACCCGCCTACCCGCGTCGCGATTTCAGTAAAAATACAAGTTGTATTTCCGCGTTTGCGATCTCGTGACGTGAAAATCGGATAAAATGAATACGGATAAAAGCCGAAATCGAACGGTCGCCAAGTTCAAGGCGTTGAGCCGCGCTGCGGGAAGACGCCACTCGCCACTCGCCAGTGCGACTCGACGCGCTCGAAAGCTCGCGGTCGCGCGCGGGCGTCGCGGCGCGCATTCGACGCGGAAGCGCGGAACACGGGGCCGTCCGTGTTCTCTCCCGCCATGTCCGCGTCGAACGCGACCCTCGCCGACGAGACTCGGAACGCGGGGGTCCCGGATACGCCGCTCAGAAAATCGTCCGACGACGCACATGATTCCACGTCGAGCGGATCCTGCTCGACGCTCGGCGGCCGAAATCGAGAGAACGCGCGCGGCAAGCGTGGCGAGCGGTAACGGCGGCGTCGGACGCGACAACGATAACAAGACGCAAAAAGTTGCCAGCACTGACTTGAAATTTTCATTCCCCGGTGCGGACGATTGGCAGCGAGATGGAGAACAGCAGCCGAGCGGTGCCCTGACGACAGTGACGACGGCGTTGACGCCCCGTGTGACGGCCCGGGTCAGCAGGTCGGGCGACGGGCGCCGTTGCGACGCCAAAGGAATCCTGAAAATGGCGACGTAATCGGTATCCGCGCGTTTTTACTACCTGGCGAGTGGCGGCTGTCTGGGACGGAAAGGATCCTGGCATATTACGTCGTCGCGTAGGGGGACGGGCGAGCGCCACGCGCGCCATCTGCTATGGCGACGCCGTCGTCTGCCGTCATGTTCAGTCATGTTGCCGCCGTGCCGGGTGCGGCGAACGATCCACGCGTCCGTGATCGTTCAACTGGAAAACGCACGTCGTGAAAATCGTCTACTTTTCTTCTGCTGAAAAATGATGTTCCTTTCTTCCACAGAGAAAATGACTGATGATTGAAAATAATTCCCTTTCCTCGCCGATATATATTGAGCTATTTTTGTTGAAATCTTAAGGCGGTTCTCATTAAATTCCAATCGAATGATGTCTATATTTATCAATGGGTGCGTTCAGCCGATACTCCGCTAGCCTAGCAATCGTGAGCAGTCGCTCGTTTTCGCTCGTTTCCTCTCCTTTGACCTAATGGATTAAAAGGAGAGGAAACGAGCGTCGCTCACGATTGCTAGGCTAGCGGAGTATCGGCTGAACGTCTAGTTCCAAGAATTTTGTCTATTTCTATCAATGCGGGTTAACTTTAATCTTTGTCTTCTTGTCCCTTTCTAATTCTTTTACCATTAGAAAAAGATAAAAGTAAGTTAAACTGAGATTAAAGTTAATCTACAGTGGTAGAACGTAACATTCGACATAGATTAAAAGTAAGTTAAACAGAGTTGATCTACATTGCAGAAATGAACAGATAAGCGAGTTCAACTCGCTGTTGGAAGTTCAGAATAGCTTATAGCGTTAATTTTTCAGCTTTGTATTTGCAAGGATCTATTCTTTAACGTTACATCTTCTTCACGTTCGCACGTTATAATAATTTTGTATAGTTTTCTCAAAATTGCGGTCGTTCATGCGACCTACGCGCGTCCGCATCATGCGCAATCATCTCGTCGAATTTAAGGCGGTTCACAAGCAACTTTACGCGAACAGCTGAATAAAGACGAATCCAATTTGATATTAATTGCAAATTAAGATATATTGAACAACGTAACGTTTATCAATTAACGACTCTTGATGACCATGGTATACATCCACTTTGAGATAACTTAAGTTATTAATTGTCGGCGCATTAAACTCGAGATTTTTCAGATTACTTCAATATATGATAACGCAATTGTTCTACGGTCTAATAAAATACAAAACTTGAAATAAAAGAAAAACTAAATGTTTCCAAACATATTCCCGTCGTATTTTTCTCCTTAGATACAATCGCAATCATTTATTTGACTTCACGCGAGACGCGAGTCGTTTAGTCATGGTCGATTTAAACAATGTCTGACGATCAATTTAACTGCTTGGATATTGATTAATAAACCTAGTTTGACATGATTCTCCTTCGGTTACATCACAGATGTATCATCATATTTCAGAAGGAGACAACGGATCGCTCATCGCTATTAGCGTCAGTCGTACTTTCGAGTTTCGAGTTTCGAGGCGTCGGTGCTAACTCGGGCCAGGTTAGCGAGCACGTGTTGAAGTCGCATGACGATCGCGGTCGTGACGAGGCGACCACGCGTTCGCTCAAATGAACAAAAATGAATCGATGAGCAGATACGGGCCTCTCGTCGGCGCGATCGACGAGGGGACGAGCAGCGCGAGATTCCTGGTACGAAGAATCCTCGTCTCGCAATGTATCAATGATCATAATGAGAGATAAGCCGCTTTGCCGCGGTTCTCGCGGCTTTACGGTTATCGCGATCGGAAGTCCGAGGATGCACGGTATACGACACTACTGTGATAAATCTGTTCGAAATATTCGTATAATTAAAATAAATTGTTGAGTTGTGTGTGTGTGAAGACACATTGAAAGCGGTATGTAGTTTAATTTGTAACATGGATGATGATGTTTGATCCAAAAGAGACTTGTGACAGATCTGGTATCTTTCACTTGTCCATTTCTTCCTTCGTTATTGATCATTGATTGTTGTTATTAAAGTAATTATGACATAAGGTTGTGAGATACGTGCTTACACATTTCTTCTCCTTTACAATAATACAGGTTTTTGCAGCAGACACAGCTGAGGTCTTGACGTATCATCAGGTCTCGATATCGCAGACATGTCCAAAAGAGGGATGGGTTGAACAGGACGCTTTAGAAATATTGAGGGCAGTCAGGGAATGCCTCAAGCAAACTGTATTTAACTTGAAGCAGTTGACGATAGATCCAGCTGACATAGTTGCGATTGGTATAACGAATCAGAGGGAAACTACAGTTGTGTGGGATTCTGTAACGGGAGAACCACTTTACAATGCCATAGGTAAAATTACGTTATTATGAATGTTATGAATGGGACACCTCTCCCTAAATGGCTTGTCAATACGTGATACACGTCATTAATTTTGATATGTTGCAGTATGGATGGATATGAGAGCTGCATCGATTGTGGATGATATATTGAAGGATATACACAATAAAAATAAGAATTATTTGAAGCCGCTCTGCGGCTTGCCAATTAGTCCATACTTTAGTGCGTTGAAATTGAAATGGTTGTTGGAGAATGTACCTCAGGTTCAAGAAGCGTTAACTGCCAAACGTCTCATGTTTGGCACCATCGATTCCTGGCTAATTTGGGTTTGTTCGCACAAAGCAAGCGTAATGTAAAGAAATGTTTGTAGATTGATATTTACATTAACACGCCAATTTTATAATTAGAATCTGACTGGTGGTGCCAACGGTGGTGTTCACAGTACAGATGTCACGAATGCTTCGAGAACGATGTTAATGAATATCGCGACGTTGAAGTGGGATCCTACTCTATTGTCATTTTTTAAGATACCTCCTGAAATTTTACCTCAAATACGGAGCTCCTCTGAGATTTATGGCTATATACAAGATGAATTGTTGCAGGGCGTTCCTATATCAGGGGTAAGCACTCCTTGTCTTGTTTTATTAAGTATAACGAAGATATAATATCAAATAATATGGTATTAAAATTTAATTTTTATTAATATAACGTATTTTTCATTCTGAAATATTAATTGTGACTCAAGTATATATAAAAATATTTGTTGTAGTGTTTAGGTGATCAACAATCAGCTTTAGTAGGTCAGATGTGTCTACAGCAAGGACAGGCGAAAAGTACTTATGGCACTGGTTGCTTTCTCCTTTATAATACTGGCACAGCTGTAAGAAAAATTTTATTATATTGTCACAACGTGTATATTGGTACAAGTATAAGCGCATTGACAAATGAATATAATTTTGTTTCTCTCATTGTTACAGATTGTTGATTCGTCTCATGGTTTATTAACGACAGTTGCTTATCAATTAGGAGCGCACGCTTCTCCAGTGTACGCTCTTGAGGGTTCTGTAGCTATCGCAGGTGCCGTTGTACAATGGTTGAAAGATAATCTTGGAATACTAACTAATATAAAAAACTGTGAAACTATTGTCGAACAAATATCCGCGGACAATCGTATTGTTTTTGTACCAGCGTTTGCTGGACTGTATGCTCCATACTGGAGAAAAGATGCGCGAAGGTAGTTAGTTTTATCAATACAATGGAATTTGACTACTTTGCGACAATGTTTAAGTCTACAAATTAACTATTTTCAGTGTCATATGTGGTATTAGTGAAGATACTACTAACGCACATATTGTAAAAGCAGCTCTGCAAGCGGTATGTTTTCAGACGAGAGACATTTTGGAAGCTATGAAGGAGGATACTGGTTTGGTGCTGTCAAAACTGTTGGTTGACGGTGCAATGATCAATAATGATTTGTTGATGCAAATGCAAGCTGATATCTGTGGTATTCCAGTAGGTAGGTAAAATATTTCTTCCAATAGCTTACATACATATTGTTAGATTAAAAGTTAACAAATTAAATGAGCACGCATAATTTTATATGTTAAAGTTAGACCATTAATGTGTGAAACTACTGCACTTGGAGTTGCAATTGCTGCGGGTAGCGCGGAAGGAATACGGAAATGGGATGTGAAGATTGACGCTGCTGTTCCTAGTGATATCTTTTTTCCATCAATAACTGAGAATGGTGATTATATATCTTACAATAATCATACTTTATTACAAAAAATACAAATTTTATGGCATTGTACGGAGAGATTAATTAACTAATATATTAATTTCAGAACGTGATATTTTATATTCTCAGTGGAAAATAGGTATTGATAGAAGTTTAGGTTGGGAGCCACTCCCAGAAGCAAGTGGTAACTATTAATAATGATTCATTATTAATGAATATGAAACTGTTATACGAATAAATTTTAATTGCAGATATTTCTGTTGCAGATGACACAGAGGATATACATAAAGCGACTGCGCCCGGTGTATTTATAATTGGAACCATAATACTGCTTATGGTTGCTAAGTATAGATCTACTTTATAATAAGTTTGTATATGCAGTACCATGTACTGTTTATTGCATTTAGACAAAATCTGGTCATTTCAACAGAAAATATGTCTACCAAGTATGATGCATTGCTTTATTATTTGTATTATAGTATCTAATATTTATAGATTGAAAAACAGTCAAGAATAAAAAGTGCCATAATATCATAAAATAATTACTAGATTGTTATACATAGTATATTAATAAGAACTATTAGGAAATTACTGCTTTTTTTTATATCTTTAATCTGTTAATTATTTAACATTCTGTTTGACTACTTCATTTTACAATGTTACTTTGTGATATTACATGAGCTTTATGGTTTTGCGTTTAAGTCAGTCTTTTTGATTCCTGTGTTATCTTCGTCAACAACATCTTTCGATCTCTCATTCCCTTGAAAAATTGCAGGATCAATGGATACTACGCATTCGTCAAATACTTTGGATTCTTTAGTTGCAGGTATTGTAGATAATGCTCCCTGTAATAACATAAAAGGTGATAAAGCGCAAAAATTCTTCAGGCACACATATAAACTTGGGTGCATTGATTAACTCTTACAATAAATCTGTCGCTGATCGATGTTTGAGCGACAACAGATGTCTCGAGCCAAGCGTCGCTTTTTATATTATTGATGCGTAATCGTGCGTATTGAGGTACTAATATACGGGTAATGAGAGAACGACACGACTGAGATACTTTAGGACGTTTAGGAAACACCACTCTGTTTTGTATTTGCTGAGTAAGGAGAGAGAGGAATGGATTGCATTAGAAAATAACAGCACAAAAGGCATAGTCGTTTGCAAGGAACGTATGTAGAAAATAGTAATTTTTTAACTGGTACTTCCATGTTCAGTAAAGATTATTATTATTCTCTACTTTATATATATATTAATATTTAAATTTTTTATGATCTGTTATTGACCTAAAAAAAAATAATTTTTATAAATTGAGATATATTTTGGAAGAAGAATATGCGAAAGGTTGGTCTCGACCTCAGTATACATTGAGTATACTGGTCTTGGCATATACCTGGATACCTTTAGCAGATGTGCGTAATTTGTATCGTCAAACGGCAGCTGACCGTAAACCATAGCATAAAGCACCACGCCCATGGACCATATGTCGGCGAGTTGAGGCTGATAAGGGATTCCTCGTAGAATTTCAGGCGATGCATAGGCATAACTGCCGCAGTAAGTTGTACTGAGAGGCCACTCGCCGTTCTTCGATTTCATTTGCCCACGCGCGAATCCAAAGTCAGACAATTTAACATTGAAGCGATAATCCATGAGCAGATTCTCGCACTTTACATCTCTGCAAGAGTTTTCATTAGAGTTATATTAAAATTATTGCTCTGAACAATCTTTATTTAGATCTCTCTCGAGATCGTAACTTTACTATGTCTTTCAACAAGCTTTAAAATCTTCATTCTCTTTAAAAATTTTCATTAACGATTATTGTATTTTTCTTTACCTGTGCACTATGCCGTGCTCGTGACAATAATCGATGGCATCCAAAAGCTGTCGGAACCATCTACGGCTACGTAACTCGTCGATATAAGTATCGCGTCGTATAACGTCGAGCAAGCTGCCATTTTGCGCAAATTCCATAATAATGTACACCCTGGAAAAAACAAGCGATTTGAAAGAAATTGAAAGAGCATTCGTATAACAGAATTTCATGGGATGAATTTCCATCTCAATCGCTTCAAATACACTTATTTCTACGCTGATCTGCCTACAGATGTTATTCAAGGATTAATCTGGAAGATGAACCAACCGATGTGTGGTTTCTATCGCCTGCAGAAAGTGAATGAGATTTGGATGTTTTAAGCCTTTGACCACCTCGATCTCGCGAGGTAGGAATTTCGTGAGGTATTCTCCGGGCGCCTGGAACTTCGAGACTATCTTCACCGCCACTTGGCAATCGTGCCGATCAGACTTCGCGATCTGTGCACGAGAGCATGTAACAAAAGTTTAGAATTAAAAAAGAAAATGGCATTAGAGAAGAAAGGAAAAGAAAAGGAAATGCGATGGATGCTCACTTTGACGGTGGCATATGATCCGGCACCTATAGTCTTCCCAAGCGCATAACCATGCGATTCAAGCACCGTCAATTTCTTATCCGATTTTTCACCGTTCTTTTCATCTGTCAATCTCATGCCAGCCAGTTGCTCTTTCGACGTACACTTTATTATTGGTTCCGTTGCCATTTCCGGCGAAAATTAGACTTTCGGCTGCAAGAAGGAAGTTTAAAATAAGCTACAAATTAACAGAATTCTCCGCACTGAGAGAAAAATCCGAGTTTAAATGATATCCGGATATCATTGATCGGACATTATTCCTTGATCGGCTTTTTATAATTCTGATTGAATGGATCGGTAATATCTATTTGTTGCCTTTTGAAAGAATTGTCCGATTTTTTCTCTCAGTGCGAAGATAATGCCTCAATTCCAGTTTTACAAAAACCAGTTATCATTTATTGGAATTTATCGCGCTCGACTTTTCCAGAATGACTAATTAGGATAATAGCATAAGTAATGTATAATGCTTTTCTGTAATTAGCATGGCGAGCAGAAGTTAATCCTTATTTTACAATGGGTTATTACCTTGACAATTTCTTCATATTACTTCAAATAAATGTCTATGCAATGGAAAAGTCATTTTATCTGTTTCATTGAACATACATACGTTTTTATTTGTTGAACATGAAAATTTTTAATTTATATTTGGCATCTGTGAACGGGAATTTTAAATTTTTAGCCTTTTTTTTAGGTGGAGGGCATGTGACAACTGAAGTGTGAAAGTTGTTGAAAATCGAAATTTACGATAAAATCGATAATGAAATCAAATAGATTCGAAACCGAAGGAGAATATACATATATATACACACCCATTAAACCGAATGTTCCGAGCAATCTGTTTGTATTTGAACCGGCTCCGTCCAAGTATATCAAAATATTTTCTTTCAGTCTCGAAGATTATTAGAGTACTATATAACGCAGTACTATATAAAGCAGTATTAAGTGAATTGTGACGACATAAAGAGGGAAACTCGGAAAATTTCTCGCATTAATGCTGCAAGTGTTCAAGAACAATTGTTTAATAAATTAAATCAGAAATGGAAGCATACGAAATGGACGATTTGAACCCTAGCATACGCATGCAATCGATGTTCTCTCATTCGATAGACATGGAAAGTAATGATATTATTGCCTTTACATCTATATGCCGACATTGTAACGAAGGTATGCATATTCGTTTTATAAAATTAAGAAAAGACATCTATGAATCTTTGTTTATTTTGAGGATTTTGATAAGATTGCATTTTTGAACTTATATGATTTGTACAACGGTGTGGCACAACACTCACAAATCAAAGATTTCGTACACATATTTCTGCAAAATAGATATTGAAAAAAGAATTCAAACGCTCTAATGACGCGAAATTATTACCAAGTGTATTGTATGTACAACTATTATTTGTCAAGTAGCTGAAGTAAATAAATTCTATTCTATTCTACTTGTGAAGTATTGCAAATCAAAATGTATGTATAAATTTGCTTATGCTCTAGATGACAGTAAGGGGAAACTCATACGTCCATGTGAATGCACCGGTGACCGGGAATTTATGCATATTCATTGTTTAGAATATACGTCAAACCTCAGAAAGCAATCTTATTGCACACATTGTAATGCTGCCTTTCCATTAGAAGTAAAGTACAAATCATTAATACAGGTAATCCATATGAAGGGATTGACAATCGCAAAGTGCTCGTCAAAAATAAAATAAAATTTGGGAGAGAGAAGGAAAGAAAAGAATTTCTATATCTTATAGCAAAATAGATTATTACTTTACAATTTAAAAAATGTATTTTGCGAGAAATCGATATACGTTATTAAGTAAAAATGAGATCATCAGTGTCATACTTGAAGCTCAATACATAAACATGCATGTTAAATACATATATCAAAACAATAAAACTTTTAATAGAGATATATAACAGAAGACATTGTTTTTTTATAAGCAATCTATCATGACAATACTTATTCAATTCTTTGAACAATTTATAATTTTAGCGTGCCTATAAGGGTTGCGGTCCACTTGACGCTACAAGAATGCTTCGAAGCATTTGTAGCGTCAAGTGGACCGCAGCCAAGAGCGTAAGAAAAGAGATAAAATGGTGATAGAATGTTAATTTAATTGTGATGGGATGTCAGCAATATTTTAGAATTTAAGCGCTCAATTTTAATTATCGAATTAACTATTAATGATTTTATCAGAAGCAATATTTCATTAATATATATTTTGTATATGATGTTGATTTTTTGGCAGATATGCAGAAATAGCAGAGAGATGTGTGACATGTTTCGAGCAGTCTGTTATTCTCTTTTTATAGTACTTGGTACACTAACATATAACGCGTGTATGATCTTTATAATCGTACGTCACTTTATATTAGCTTTGACTAATGATTCATGGACCAAAGGCATCTTTAACTTCGGGAGCGTTATAGTTATAGGAGTTCTTATAGGTTTACACATACCGTACGAGCTGGAGTTACTGCAGCGCGCGTATGCCACGTACGTTCGAATAAATAATTATATTATTTAACTTTTTACATTCAGACTTCTATTTATTGACATATGTATATGAATAATTAAATACCAACATATATATGTGTACAATATATATATAACTGATATACATCGATTATCTCGTAATTCGTTAATTATCTTTATTTTTTTATGACAATTATCTGATTCTTTATGATCTTCTCAGCAAAAATATTCAAGTCTCACAATCAGATTATCGTCTCAATCGATCATAAGCAACTGGCAAAAATATGAATGTGATAAAACAAATTCTAAAGAGAAGAATTGTGTTTATTTTCATTTAACGTCAAACTTATCTTTATAGTAATATATAGTAATTAAACTTAATTTTAAAAATATACAATAATTTAAAACTAAATAAATGATTTTGATATTTTTGCTAAGGAAAAATCAACTCTAAATTGATTAATTCGCAGATAAGTCGATAGTATACATGCACTCTGTAATATGTATTATATACATATTATCATAATAAAGTTTTATATTTATCAAATATTAAAAGCATTCCAATGGCGATTGAAAAAACATTAAGACGTTTTAACAATAATAATTTATAGTAACATTTACAAAACATAATGAACTAAATTTTCTATTTTATTTTTTGTCTGTTGCAGCTTTCGTCGTGCTCGTTCGCGGTGGCTTGCAGTCAATACAGAAAGGAAAGTGATAAAAAGTTTTATTCATGAAGTCTGACTTTTATTTAAAGGTGACCCTCGGTTGTCATACGAGGTCAAAGTGACCCCAGACTATTTTTTTTATTTTTATTAAAGTAAAATATCTTGAGTATTATGCAAAATTTTGACCAAAAAACATTGAAAAATGAATTTTTTGAACATGATGCCACTCAAAAAATTAATTTTTTATAATGAGACTACATTGTACAATTCTAGAATTCTTTGCGATTCACATAAACTATTAGTTTTTGAACAGTAGCTGCTTGAAAATTATTGGTTGGGGTCAAATTGATAATACAAGTGATAAACGTATTGGAGAAAAAGAGGTGCGACAACCGAGGGTTAATAAATGATAAATAAAATTTTGTCATTTAGCGTATATATCATAACGAAATTACTATGACGTTATATAATGTTAAATAATATAATCATTATAACAAAAGTATGTAACATATAACAAAAGTGTATAATACAATAATTGTATGACAATGTTATAATAACCATTATAACAAAATTATAATAATACTAATTGTATTATAATAATACGAGTTATAACAAAGTTATGTGATGCAGTTATTGTAACAGAACTATAGAAAATTGATGAAATTCTCGTGAAAGACATTGTATAATTTTTACGGTAGATCAAGAAGCTACCTTATTTATTCTTATGTTTTCAGAAATATGAAAGCAATGTATAAAAAAAATTCTTTTTATAAAATTTCTCTTCTTGCCTCAACACGCGAAGGAGGAAAATTGCTCAAACTAATATTTCTAGAAATATATATAGAATACAATTGATTTACAAAGTTTCTTCCTGCGTGTGGTCGTAGAGAGAAACTGCATCATTTTAAACATTTGACGAATATATACGTATATGTATGTGTAACCATTTACTTTCTAAATTTAATAACAACAATTGTAGTAAACAAGCATTATTTATGCTTGTAAAGAGAATAATAAATACGTTCAAGCTTGTTTGCAATGGCAGTGTCTGCAGTTTCAATTTTCTCATCTCTTACCTGATTATATTCTCCTGATACTTTTTACTTATCGGAAAGATATACATGCGTATACGTATATGAAGATTTAAATTTGGTTCCTGTAATATTTGTCGCCGTGTTTGTCGCACGCTTAGTTCGCCATTGGGCCAGGAGTGTTCGGTGGCGCTAAAGTCACTGTTTTGTTTTGTTGCTCATGGTCAAGTGCTACGGAGTACGGCAACGCGTAGTAAACTAAACGCGATATCCGCGATATCGTAAAGCGGAGTGATTAACGTACACGTTATTTAAATAGTTCAACTTTAGCCATGGCGGACGTTTTGGACATCGATAACGCTGAGGAGTTTGAGGTGGATGACGAGGGAGATCGTAAGTCTTGTTTTCTCATTACATTTTATGAGCATTGATTTAGCTTGTAACCTCAACTTCGTACTGTTCTTCGATAACTTCTTCAGCTCGTTTTCATACATTTATGTCTCTTTAACAAGCTGAGGCCTGTCCGTTTTAGCTGAACTTCTTGCACAGTTTATCTTTTCTCTTTTTCTGTCCAACGTGAAAAAAAAGAGGAAAGATGAATCGTGCAAGAAGTTCAGTTAAAACGAGCAAGCCCCATATCTCTCTTCCTGGCAGTTTTGGAGTAGCACGCAATTATTGAATAATATTGGCGGTGCAAACGTCAATCTCGCCTGAAATCGTTAGATTTCATGATGAGAAATGTGAAAACAGATGGCAATAAGATCATAACGATGTGGACCGTGTGAAAAATTGTTCTGATTATTTTGGCGTGTTTCTAGAGGGTATCGCTCGTCTTAAGGAGAAGGCGAAGAAGAGGAAAGGCAGAGGCCATGGTGCAGAATTAGTGTCGACGAGAGATGACGTTGGTCATTATGAGTCCATGAATGTGGTTGAAGAGGACGACAACGAGCCTGGCCCTCAGAGATGTGAGAATACATCTTTGTTGTAGCTTCGTTAATTCAGTTTGAATTACAAGATTTATTTTTTTTCTCCATTTTATTTGTTACAGTCGGTATAATTTAATATTTTTTATGTACTTTCAGCTGTGGAAGGATGGATCTTATTCATAAATTCAGTACACGAGGAGGCACAGGAGGACGATATTCAGGACAAGTTCTCTGAGTTTGGCCAGATCAAGAACTTGCATTTAAATCTGGATAGAAGAACGGGATTTCTAAAAGGCTACGCATTGGTGGAATACGAAACGTTTAAGGAGGCACAAGCTGCAAAAGAGGCTCTAAACGGCACAGAAATCCTAGGTCAGGCTATCTCCGTCGATTGGTGCTTCGTAAAAGGACCGAAGAAGTAAGTATTACTATGTAATAGAGTTATTTGAATCTTTAAATTGATACAATACTTAGATTCACATATCGATATTTATATTTCATATTTTTCCATTTTTATAGAATCAGGAAAAGAAGTCACAGAAGGCGATGAGAATTATAGATTAATAACTATGATATCGTATCTTCTATTATGTATCGTCATTTCAAGCAAGACAAGTTATTTTATAATTGATAAGCATTTTGTAAATGCTGGAAATAACATATAAGTTACTCTTTCTAATGATTTCTCTCTCGTTAAATCTATTTGTAATCTATCTAGAAGGACGTCATATACAATTAGTTAATAAATGGAAGATCATGAACTCAGATATCATCTACTGTGCAAGCTAAAATATCAATATTTTGTGTGAATATTTCAATTTGGTTTCTTTCATATACTTCATCTGGCAACAATTTTACAATTCATCACTATACCTTGTACCAATTTGCATAAAATAAATATATGTCATTAAAATTTTATTTTTGTAGCGTGATACGGCATCTTAAAAAAAAATGTATCTGCAATATTTAATAAAAATTCCTATTCAAAGTGTGAAATTTCATTTTTTAAGTCATTGTGAAAAAGATTTGTGTAACAAAGTGAACATGACATTTAAAAATTTTGTTCTCAATACATGTGACTTTGAAAAGTATTCATTCAGTCATTTTTCTTTGTGCATCTCGTATTTGCCGAAAAATAAGAAAATATGAAGGTTAGACATTTCTATATTTATTATTATACAAAAGATATCTTAATAAATAAATAAAGCGACACGGCGTATTAAGCATAATAATTCAGATTTGCTTTCTTTTTCGCTTGGACCTCATTAATAGCTTCCATCAAATCTTCGTGAGTAACTTCTGTTGCGTTCCGTCGTAATGCTATCATACCCTGAAACACATCACATTTTGATCATTATTTTGACAAAATTACGTAGCAAGATCGAATAGGGCAAATTATTAACTGTGACAATATAATAATTTTTAAACGATATGATGTAGATGTTAATAATATATTAGTGAATATATAGACAGAAAAAATTTTATATTTATTGTTCAGTTAGAGTTGATGCTTGCTATTATTATAATTGATCCTGAACTTAAATGCTTACCGCTTCTACGCAAACAGCTTTACACTGTGCTCCGTTAAAATCATCCGTGGATCTGGATAATTCTTCGAAATTTACATCAGGCGACATATTCATTTTACGTGAGTGAATTTGCATGATGCGCGCTCTGGCTTCCTCGTTGGGATGCGGGAACTCGATCTTTCTGTCCAAGCGTCCGGAACGCAACAGGGCTGGGTCCAAGATGTCGACTCTGTTCGTAGCGGCGATAACTTTGATGTCGGCGGTCGAACTGAAGCCGTCCAATTGATTCAACAGCTCCAACATCGTACGTTGTACCTCCCTGTCTCCCGCCTTTTCCGAATCGAAACGTTTTGTGCCGATAGCGTCTAATTCATCGATGAATATTATCGCCGGAGCCTTCTCCTTGGCCAACGAAAACGCGTCTCTGACCAACTTGGCACCATCGCCGATGAACATCTGTACTAGTTGCGGGCCAGCCAGTTTTAGGAAGGTAGATTTTGTTTGGGCGGCGCAGGCTCTAGCTAGTAAAGTCTTTCCGGTTCCAGGTGGGCCGTAGAGCAGAACGCCCTTAGGGGGCTGTATTCCCAGGTTCTCGAACTTCTCTTTGTGTGTCATAGGCAACACAACAGCCTCGATAAGCTCCTGAATTTGCTTGTCCAGCCCACCGATGTCAGAGTACTGCTCTGTAGGTCTCTCATCTACTTCCATAGCCTTGACTCTGGCATCGTATTCGGCCGGCAGAGTCTCCAGCACGAGATAACTGTCTTTGTTGACACCCACCAAGTCACCTGGCTTCAGCGATTCGGCGTCGACCAGTCCGATCACGGGCAAAAAATACGTCTGGCGAGTCGACGTCTTTATGACCGCGCATTTGCCCTTCCTTTGCGCATCTAAATCGACCACCGCTCCGTCTTCCTCCCCCATGTCCTGCGGATCGACGTCCAATAGCTCGATGACATTGGATACCAGGTATGGGAGGGTTTTGTTCACTTTGATCTTCTCTGTGTTCTCCTTGATCTTATCGTTCTGCGCCTGAAGCTCGTGCGAAATCCGCATCACCTCGCTCTTCATTATCTTGATTTCGTTATCCAAAAGTCGCGTACGTGATACGATTTCGTCCGTGGACATTCGCAGGACGTCTTCTCCCAATGTTTCCTAGAGACAACGTAGTCCTTTTTTTTTACAAAATTCCTCTTTATCGTTAAAATGTAAGAATTAACTATACACAACGATTGTACTACTAAATATACATATATTCATATACTTTAGTGAGTTGAAAATGAAGTTATTTAAAAAAACTATTTCATGTACCTACTTAGTGCAAAACTACTGGAGGAGGCAAATTCTTTTTCAATAACAATATACATATACTTATCTTACAAATATCTATCATCTATATGTTCTATATTTTTAGTCCTGGTTTTACAAATCTTATTTATTTTTTAGAATTCTGGTATATTTATATATATTGTGATTTTGAATAATATCACAAATGCACTGACGATTGAGAAAATTTTAAGCTTTGTATAAAAAATGACTAACATTGATTTTAAGTGATTTAAAGCACTTTGTGTAATAATGATCTTAGGCTACGGTCAACGTGACGCTACAAATGCTTTGGAGCGTTCTTCTTTTCTTTCTTTCTTCATTGAAAGAAAAGAGAAGAGGAATGCTTCGAAGCATTTGTAGCGTCACGTTGACCATAGCCTAAGATCATTATAAACATATCAATCAAATAAAAGAAAAGATATTCCTTTGCAGGAGATGTTTTATCAAAGGTAGATAATAGTATAAAAAATATTATAGGATAGATTTCTAGTCATGTAAGAATGAAAGGAAACGAGGTGCGTTAGCTTAGGAGACAACGAAAGAAGTACGATAGAATCAAGGTGCTTATTAAAGACTGGAGGACATTATTTAAAGAAGATATGTACAATAGAACTAGAGAAAGGTTAGAACTACAAGGAAGATTCAAGGGAATTGAATATTTTAACGAGTATTGCATTTATGGAAAACAAACATGCATGGTTTAGCAGACTTGATGAACCAAGATTGATCACAATGATTAATCATTTAAGAGCTAAATTTAATGAATCGCGAGAAAAGGTTATATAAATGTTGCTACACGGAGCAGAGTCTCAAGATACCTATTATCATATTGTATTTATATGCGTTAGATTTGAGGTTAGAAATAGATTTTATCACGAACTAGAAAGATTACGAATTTCATATCCGTGCAACATTGAGGAAAGTTAAAAAAAACATTAGTGTGAGACTTCTAAAAGCTCTTTGGACCTTCCTAAGAGAAAATAGCACAACAATAAAGGCTGTCAAAAAGTGATAACAAGATACGTAGTAACAATCGCACGAGAGCGTACGAGGTTATCGGTATTCAAGAAAAGAACAAAGTACTGGATGTGTCAAAAAGACCGGAAACTCTCGGTCGAC